AGAAGCAGCAATGCAGAAAATTCCGAACCGCTGTCGCAGCTTCCCGATTGGTCGGGAATTATCTACACGCGGCTTCAGCCACGTCCAGAGCCACAATTACCGCCACGTGTCGAGCACCTATTGGTGGAACGAGAAGGCAGGGTTGTGGATGTGGTGGCTGATTCAATCAACCTTCCGACAGAGTAAGTCGGCACGATGAGCATGAATCAGGAAGCATGAAGCATCAAGCAGCAAAAGTACGTTGAGCATAGCCGACATTTGAGCTGATCAGCATCAATTCGCTCTGTTTCTTTTGCCGATTTGACCCTATCTTCAACAATTTCCTATGCTGAATTCCATGTGCTTTGCCTCCCACCTAATCATTCAGATACGTCACAGATTTGATGCGATTCGGTGGGATCTACCACTCCCAGGTACCACCTCCCCCACCTCCGAACCTCCCTCCAGAGGCCCTTCAAGCCTACCTTGATTTTATTGCCCAGCACCCCACTAGCCTCTCCTCCTCCCCCTCCTCCCCATCCTCCTCCCCCTCCTCCCCCTCCACCCCCTCCTCCTCCTCCCCGTCCTCCTCCTCCTCCCATCAACCAAAGGTCACACTGGCGGAATTGCAGAAAGTTAGAAGGGTGGAGGTGGGGGGAGTGCGGGGGAGAGGCGTTGGGCAGAAGGAGAAGAGGCAAAGGGAGAGGTCTCGAGACAAGGTGGGGAAGAAGGGCTCGGGGAGTGGGAGAGATTTGAGGGGCAAGAGGGACGGGAGGGATGGTAGAGGCGAGGAGAATTATCAGCAGCAGAGACAGAAGCAGAAGGAGGCGGAGGGGGAGGAGGAGGAGGAGTTTGGAGTGAGAGTGAAGGCAGGCAGTTACCTCCGAGTTCATGTGCATCCTAAACGATTCCCCATGTGAGTGACGCTTGCAGCGAGTAAAACATGTCATATGATTATGAGTTAACAGTTACAATCTTTCATAGTTTGTGAGTGTTTTTTTGTAAATTCTTAGGATGCTTTTTGTGTTGATATGGCTATCTATCCCATCCATCTATAACGTTCATTGGATGCAGGTGTTACAGCTTTGACTGGCAAAGATCCGTGATTGTTAACGAGGATGATTATGTGGTGATCGATAAGCCGTACAACGTTCCTGTAAGCCGCTCTCTCGCCCATGGCCCTGTCACTCCCTCTGTGATTGTTAACGAGGACGACTATGTGGTGATTGATAAGCCGTACAACGTTCCTGTAAGCCGCTCTCTCACCCACCCATGGCCCTGTCACTCCCTCTGTGATTGTTAACGAGGACGACTATGTGGTGATCGATAAGCCGTACAACGTTCCTGTAAGCCGCTCTCTCACCCACCCATGGCCCTGTCACTCCCTCTGTGATTGTTAACGAGGACGACTATGTGGTGATCGATAAGCCGTACAACGTTCCTGTAAGCCGCTCTCTCACCCACCCATGGCCCTGTCACTCCCTCTGTGATTGTTAACGAGGATGACTATGTGGTGATCGATAAGCCGTACAACGTTCCTGTAAGCCGCTCTCTCACCCATGGCCCTGTCATTCCATCTGTTCGCCCATGCTGTTGTAGGAACTTCTTTAGAGTTTTAAGGTGTTTTTGAGAATTCTCAAAAGGTGTTTTTGAGAATTCTCAAAAACACCTTGCAGCATCGTTCGCCCATGCTGTGGTAGGCGCTTCTTGAGAGTTTTCAGAAAACGCGTATAGCATGATGGCACTGCTACTCCTCCTGTTCGCCCTCTGTCATGTGCCGCACGATGCCCTGCCGTGCTGTTTGCATGCTGTGCAGGTGGGCGGCACAGTGGACAACCTGTTGGAGTGTTGCGCCTTCTTCGGAGGGCAAGCCGTGGGGCTCAATCACCCGCTGCAGCTCACTCAACCCCCCCATCATGTGCCCCATCATACATCGCCCTTCGGTTTGCGTGCCGCAGGTGGGCGGCACAGTGGACAATCTGTTGGAGTGTTGCGCCTACTTTGGAGGCCAAGCCGTGGGGCTCAATCGCCCGCTGCAGCTCACCCACCAGCTCGACCTCTGCACTCAGGGCTGGTGGGTGTGTGGGTGGGGGGGTGGTGGGTGGATGGGTGGATGGGTAAATGGTTGGAGGGTTGGTGGGTGGATGGATGCGGGTTGCACAGGTGTGCTTCGTACATGCGTTCCCGCACCACTTTGTTTGAGCGTATAGACTGGTGCCGAGTGTTCGACACCCCATGCTGTATAAGACACTTACGACACACTCTTTCCATACTATCCGTGCTCTCTGCAGCGTGGTTATGGCTAAGAACCGCCAGTTCGCCAGCCGGTTCAGTCGCCTGTATGTGCCTTCAAAGTACTCTCACAACACCATCTTTCCATACTATCCGTGCTCTCTGCAGTGTGGTCATGGCCAAGAACCGCCAGTTCGCCAGCCGGTTCAACCAGCTGCTTCAGGTGCATACATGACCCTGCAGGCTCTGCACTTGATGAACGTGTGGGATCGTACATGACCCTGTCTGTAGGGCAGTCCACGACCCTGTAGGGCAGTCCATGACCCTGTAGGGCAGTCCATGACCCTGTAGGGCAGTCCACGACTCTGTAGGGCAGTCCACGACCCTGTAGGGCAGTCCATGACCCTGTAGGGCAGTCCACGACCCAGTAGGCTCCGCACACACACCACCAACACCAACAGCACCAGCAGTTCCACCACCGCCACCATCGCCACCACCATGCTCCACGCGTTCCTGTCCTGCAATCGCCTGTGTTTTTTTCCCAACGTTCCGTAACTTCTGTTGTTGTTGCGTCATATCACCTATCACGCATGGCGGTCCCCGCCGACCCCCCTTAAAGCCTCTCTTCTCTCTTCTTGCAGCTCGCCTCTTTGGCCCCTTCTCACCTCTGATTGCCTTTTCTCGCCTCTTCTCCCCGCTTCGTGCCTGTCTTGCCTCCCTCGGCTTGACCCCCCGCTTCCAGGATCGCAAGGTTCGCAAGCTGTACAAGGCCCAAGCCGCATCTGCTCCTGTTTTGGAGGCGCCTTAAAAACCCCCTCGGCTGTTTTTGAGGCGCCTTAAAAACCCCCTCGGCTTGACCCCCCCTTTCCAGGATCGCAAGGTTGGCAAGCTGTACAAGGCCCTAACCGCATCTGCTCCTGTTTTGGAGACGCCTTAAAAACCCCCTCTGCTCGACCCCCCCTTTCCAGGATCGCAAGGTTCGCAAGCTGTACAAGGCCCTGACCGCCTCTGCTCCTGCTCCGGGCAGGCACATACATTTCATGCTGCCCGACCCGTACTCCCCGAAGATTCTAACACGGGAAGCCATGCCAGGCTGGCAGCGCTGCGAGCTCGTGATTCGCCGAGTGGAGGAGGTGCCGTGGCCTGCTGATTCCGCGCTGGCTGCTGCTGATGTGGACTGCTCCTATTGGCCAGCTGCTGACGTGGCATACGAGTGCCTGGTGGAGCTGATTACAGGGAGAACACACCAGGTATGGCGCTCAGTTGATGTGGCATTGGGTGGCATGTGAGGGGTAATATGGCTTGGCATGTGGGTGATATGTCATGGTAGGGGAGAGGATGCGCTGATGTTGCAGCTTCAGCTCAAGTGTGTCTGACTGACAGTACCCCAACTTGTGCATCTTTCCCTTTTCCCCTGTTCCCTGTTCTCCCTATTTCCTTTACTCCCTTTCTGGCCATCCCAGCTGCGAGCGCAGTTTGCAGCGCTGGGCGTGCCTCTTATCGGTGACACCATGTACGGCCCGGCCCAAGCCTGCTTCAGTGCCTGACAATACCCCACCTTGTGTCACTTTCCCTTCCCCCTATTTCTTGTTCTCCCTTCCCAGCTGCGAGCGCAGTTTGCAGCACTGGGCGCGCCTCTCCTCGGTGACACCATGTACGGCTCCTCCCAAGCCCAGCAGGCCGCGCCTATGGTTCTAAAAGCAACCATACCCAGCAACCGAGGTTCAGTTGGTGTGAGGGGGAATGGAGTGGGGATTTCGGGGCAGGAGAGGAGAAAGGAATATGTGGATGCGGAGGTGCTATCCCAGGCAAAGCACCTGTTTGGGGCGGCGCCAGAAGCGGCTATTGGCTTGCAGGCGTTCTCTGTGAGATGGGAGGAGCAGGTGGAAGAAAGCAAGGGGCGAGTGAGTACTGTTTATAAGGAGTACGAGGCTGGTAAACCATGGTGGCGCGAGGGTTGAAGTTTCTGTGTGATCGCAGAAAGGAGATCAGACGAGTACCAGTGTAGCAGGGACCTGAGATCACAGCAATCATCTTTCCTTGAGTTCTCACAGTTTTTTTCTCTCAAGTGTTCGTTCCTCTCTTGTTTCAGAGCTGGGGCCATCCTTTGTCATCTGGGCAATGCCGCGCGTTTGTTCGTAATGTCAACCACCAGGCAAGATGCCAAGAGAGATGTTGGAGAGGAAAGCTGGGGTACACATTTTTGAGGAGCCTAAAAAATCCTCAAAAAGTTTGAGGCGCCTCAAAAATCGTAATGTCAACCACCAGGCAAGATGCCAAGAAAGATGTAGGAGAGGAAAGCTGGGGTACACTAGAAGCATCTATGTACAAAGAATGGACAAGAAGGCAGCAGCTGGGTGTTCTAGGGACACAGCCCATGCCGCAATGTCAACTACCAGGCAAGATGCCAAGAAAGACGTTGGAGAGGAAAGCTGGGGTCCACTAGAAGCAACTATGTACAAAGAATGGACAAGAAGGCAGCAGCTGGGTGTGCAAGGGACACAGCCCATGCCACAGCCCATGACACAACCACTGCATGCAGAAACCACCCCATACTGCATTAGTTTCCCACTTCCTCTAGCCTTCCCACCCAACCGCTATTCTACTCCTTCCTGACCATGACAGTGCCCTGTACCCCAGCTCCCCCCTCTTCTCTATGCTCCACCTACCCCTCACTCTCCGAGCACTCCCTCCCTCACCTTCTCTACTCCATGCTCCACCTCCCCATGCTCCACCCCTCCCATGTTCCACACACCCCTCACCCCCGTAACCCTCCTCCATCAATTCCGCTACTCCATCCTGGCTACAAGGCTGCCCTGCGCTCCCACGTGCACGTGCAGGAAGATAGGCATGTTGGTGGACATGCGGGTCACGAGGGCTGATGCCAGCGCTGCCGACACTCGAGTCTGCCCGACCATGGCGTAGGCGCCACCACTTGTAGCCACCCACGCACCGTTCAGCACCGCAATCGGGGAGAGAGAGACCGCGACCGAGGCTCCCATGTTGCCCACCGAGCCTACGAGGTTCCCCACAGCCCCGCCCACACCGGAGATGAGGCCGGAGACCGAGCCTCCGAGGTTCACCGAGGCTCCGAGGTTGGCATTGACGCCACCCGAGCCTGCATTGACAGCAGCACCGGCGGCGGCTGAGGTGTTGAGGAGAGAGGAGGAGGCACCAAGGGAGGCAGAGCCGGAGAGAGATCCATTGGGGAGAGACACGCCCACTCCTGCTCCCACGCCGGCTGACGTGTTGAGGAGACCGGAGGAGGCAGAGAGGCCTCCTGCTGCTGAGGCAGTGCCCGTGGGAAGGGAAGCGCCAATGCTGGCGCCCACACCAGCAGACGTGTTGAGCAGCCCCGTGGACGCAGCAACGCCGCCCGTTGCACCGACAGTGCCGTTGGGAAGGGAGACCCCAGCCGTGGCTCCTACCCCGGCTGATGTGTTGAGGAGGCCGGTGGAAGCAGCCAGAGAACCGGATCCAGAGACAGAGCCGTTGGCAAGGGAGACGCCAACGGTGGTTCCAACACCAGCGGATGTGTTGAGGAGGGCGGTGGAAGCAGAGAGATCACCCGCTGCAGCGACAGAGCCGTTGGGGAGGGAGACGACGGCACCAGCGCCCACCCCTGCAGATGTGTTGAGTAGAGAAGTGGAGGCAGAGACACCGCCTGCTGTGTTCACCGTTCCGTTGGGAAGAGACGCTCCAAGAGTAGCGCCAACACCAGCAGATGTGCCCATGAGGCCAGTAGAAGCCGAGACTCCTCCTGCTGCATCCACCGTTCCATTGGGAAGAGACGCCCCCACGGTGGCGCCAATGCCGGCTGACGTGTTGAGAAGGCCTATGGAGCCAGATACTCCCCCAGCTGCGTCCACCGTTCCGTTGGGAAGAGACGCCCCAACGGTAGCGCCAACACCCGCGGAGGTGTTGAGAAGGCTGGCTGAGGCTCCAGCAGCAGCGCCCGCGGTGGCGTTGAGGGGATTGGCGGTGAGAGAGCTGCCAAGATGAGCCGAGAGAGCCGGGTCGAGGGAGAGAGAAGCGGTGGTGGCAGTGGTGGTGGAGGAGGAGGGGCAGGGGTTGGCGGTGAGGAGGTGGGGTTTGGAGGAGGGGCGAGTGCCGGCCTGGGTGGTGAGCTTGTATGTGAGGAAGAGAGCCACGCCCCTGGGGTGTGGCGGAGGGAAAGCGCGAGGGAGAGTGGGGGATAAGCGGGAAATGAGTGAGGGGTGATGAATCGAGTTGAGTAAAAGGATTGCCCCCATCATGTCTTAAGCTACGAAGCTGTGTGGTCTTGCGAGTTCCCAGGAGTGCTCGAAAGTGCTCAGGAGTGCTTGTGAGTGCTGAGAGTTGCTCAGGGGTTCTCAGGGGTGTCCAGGGGTGCTTAGCTTATCACTTGTGCCTGTGCGTCTCACCGTCTCACGAGCTCCAGCTGGGCTGACCCCTCCGTCTCGCCAGAGCCACACATCACTAGAGGGCCACTCACTGATGCTGCACGCAGAAGGTATGTAAAAGCAGGGAAGTGGGAAGTGAGGGCGTTTTTGGCGGTGCGGAGGTATTGGAAAATTGGATAACTCTTAATAATAGGAAAACGCCAAATTTATGGAAGAGAGAGAGCGAAAGAAGCATAACCCAGATAATGCATTTGCTGTCCACAGTTACACCAATCGGAGAAGTTTGCTCACCCAAAACTTGAGTTCGCATCCCTAGCCTTATGGCAGACGCGGGGGGAATAATCAGAGCTGCATAGAGGTGAAGCGCAGAAGAAAAGCAGCAGAGCATGAGCACAGGTCAGTTCCAGAAAATCTTAGGGACCATATTTGTTGAGGATGCAGCGATTCAAGCAGTGGGCGCATGCATGCCAGGCAAGCCCAAGAATATGCCTCTTACCTGAGAGGAGGAGAGCCAGAACCACGGCACCCTGGATGCGAATGGTTGGCGCAGCCATAGTTGAGCGTGTGTTCACAGGATGAGTGGTACCGTAGTTGCTTTCGGTGTGCTTCAGACAATAGAATTAGTGGTAGTTCTGGTTGGATTGATCTGCACGGTGTGTGAGAGGAATTGGCGATGTCTCTGTGAGGTGCATTGTTGAAATTTATGCTGTTTGATTCTAGAAATCCAGCATCGAGCCGCGACATTGGATGGCGGTGCGGTCGGCTTGGGCTGGCGGAAGGAGGGACACGTGTCGATGAGATGACACGTCGTAGGGGCAGGTGCTCCGAAGCTCGCGAAAGATCGCTCGTGTAAATGCGAATTCACGACATAGCTTTTGCTGTTTCGTCAATTCGTTCATCTGAAGATTTCATGCCGAAGGATTTGTCGGAGGGGTGGTGAAGTGACGGGATGGTGGGTAGGTGCCTGTCGGTTCGTCGGGATTCGCTTTGTAACAACCTGGTCCGGCGAAGACCTAGGGGGAAATTCACTAGGAACCACACCGCATTATGGCACCAGAGGAACATATAACCTAAAATGAACACGAAAACAAGACTGCCATATTCCGCTCAAATTGGTACTGGCGTGTAACTTTGATTGTTTGATATTAGCCTGGACAGCTGTCGTCAGTGTTCCTATTCCATAAATTCAGCTGTTTTGTGTCAATGGCAGGAGGAAGTAGTAGGAACTGGGAGAATGAGAATCATCAGTAAAATATATGGGTTGGTTGTAAGTGTTGGAGATAATGCTATTATGTTGTGTCACGTTGTTATGTTCTAGTACACAAGCGCAGTTTCTGACATGTCACCATTTCCCTTATCGATCAGCCAATCCGCGGCTCCCGTGCTTGGGTATGGGCGAAATCGCGCGCATCGGCGGAAATCGCGTTTCTCTCAATTAAATCGACCCAAATTGCTCCCCCCTCGCCACGTGGGCGTTTTTCTTAATTGGATGGACCGCCTTCCCCCCCGCCCCCCCAACCCGATGTTCCCGCCCTTCCCCACCGAAATTCGGGCAGCCGTGTGTACTCGCGTGAATTCACAAACAGTCACGATTACAATCTAACCACAACATGCGACAGTGTCCAGGTACTTGTGGCATGCCACATCACCTTTCCAACAGATTCTCGATTTTGTTTTATGTTTTAAATATTATTATATTAAGCTTATTCCACGAAACATATAAAATCACTCTAGATTAAAATTTTATTTAAATTTGTATAACAGAAATCCATAGGCTGATTAAAATTAACAATTTTAAATTATGTAAATATTTTTTTGACTATTGATTTGTAGTTTTTAGAATATAAATATTACCCTCCAATTACCAAGATTGTAAAAAACAAATATATTAATGCAGTGACATACAAATAAACAAAACCCATATTACTGCTTAAGATCTTATTCACAATCAATTGTGTTTAGGTGTTATGCTCAAACTATAAATAATCACAGAATGTATCACAATTTTACTACTGGTGATATATTCTGTGACAGAGAGAAATTCAGATAAGGTACCAGTGTTCCGTCAATTTAGATGTCGTTCGCATGTTGAAATCTTAGCGTTACGAAAAAGCATGTATTCGTGACTGTTTGTGATTCCACACAATTCCAGCGGGTGCCCGAATTTCGGAGGGAAAGGGCGGGAAAATCGGGTTGGGGGGGCTGGCGCAAATGAAGTCCATTCAATTAAGGGAAACGCCCACGTGGCAAAGGGGGAGCAATTCGGGTCGATTCAATTGAGAGAAACGCGATTTCCGCCGATGCGCGCGATTTCGCCTTGGGTATGACAGAGATCTGCCCGTGTTCATTGAGGAAGCGCGTGCCTGGCGGAACGTTCCCTAGGGAATTGCACGCCACGGGAGGAGGCCGTTTGTGGAGAAAGCGGAGATCGTTCGGGAAGCTCTATCGTGTGCGGGAACAAGTTCACACCCGCTCCATTGAGCCTTCCGCTTGCGCGAGCGACTCAACTCCTGCGCCTGTGTACAGAGCAGATTCAGCGAAGATATCATGAACTCAAGGTCTTGGGTTTGTCGTCACCAGGAGTGTCGCTGGACTAGTTTTAGGAACCCCCAGAATTTCCTAACTTGTCATCGTTGAGATATTTCAATAGAGCCTTACCAGCAGAAGTAAGGATCAAACTGCTGGTGCGTAGCGGAGACGTATCAGACCAGCGCACAGCTCCGCAAGCTGCCATTTCGCGTGATCCAGCTTTTATTAATCCACGTTCCTAGCCTTTGTAAGCGATCCTGCAATGCCGTACGTACCCCCTCATTTACGCAACTCGGCGGGTGGATCGGCTGGAGGTTCCGCTCCCCCGTCATCCTCCCAAGGAGGCCGATCCGATCCTCCAGGCCGCTACGGCGATCGGAACGACTATGGCAGCTTCGGTTCTAGAAGCTACGGCTCTCGAGATAGAGACGATCGGAGGGATAGAGATGACAGAGGCAGCAGGGACGGTGGCAGCAGGGACGGTGGCAGCAGCAGCTTCGGCAGCAGCCGTCGGCCTGTAGAGAGCCGGGGAAGCGGCCCTCCAGAGCCGGTCTGCCCGGCATGGAAGCCGTCGGACCGCGTGATCCGCTTGCAAGAAGATCAGGTTAGCTTCCGATCCGTTAAGATATGTCTAATCCGGCATAAAGAGATGTCAGTTCCGGCGTTAAGAAAGGTCAGTCCCGGATAAAAACTGTCTGACGTTGTCGTCCGCTTGCAAGAATCCCGTAGCTCCTAACGTCTACGTAAATGACGGTCTTGGATAGAATCGTCTGACTGTGTGAACCGTTGGCAAGTGGATCAGGGTATCTTCTGATTTCTTCAAATATGAGAGTCCTGGATATAAGGCGTCAGACCGTGCAGTATGTCATCCGCATGCAAGGAGATCAGGTCTGCTACTCGATTCCTTCAGATCGGTAGTCCGGGAGATTAGCCATGTAACCGCTTGCTATGTCCTCGTGATATGTCGTCCGCTTGCGTCTGTTCAACGCGAAACACGTGAGACTTTTCTGGTTACATCAATACCATCATGTTACGGGCATAGTTCTTATGCTACGTCATTCATGTTGCTTAATCAGGCTCGTGATGTCAAGTTGGAAGGATGTGTCAATGTTTCGTGAAATACCTCATAGTAGAGCCATTCTTCAGCTCTTATATAAGCGACAGTATGTCATGGAATTCTGTAAGCTTGGGGTTATTTGGTGTTACCGTAGGTAGCAGTAAGTCATAGAAATCCGTAGATTCGCGGTTTCCGTCTTCTGTGGTCCGTCTACGTCAACGTTTGAGTGGACTGAAAAGCCATACCAATACATCCCTGTTGGTCACGTCAATAGTAACCTTCTAGTGCTGTTATTTTGCTCTAAGTACCATTTTACCATGGAATTGTTTGTTATTGATCTGGCATTATCCCGACACTGAATGAATGCCGTCGTTCTAACGCTGAGCGACAATGAATGATGCTGGAGGGCTTTCATTGACACTGAATGGCATTGACTGACACTGAATGGCATTGACTACCACTGAGTGACACTGCATGGGTACCGACTGTCTCTGAATGTCACCGCATTGCATTGACTGACACTGAATGGCAGTGACTGACACTGAATCGCATTGACTGACGCTGAATCGCATTGACTGACACTGAATGACACCGTATGGTACTGACTGACTCTGAATGTCACTGAATGAAGTTGATTGAGACTGAGTGCCATTGATTGACAATTATCACACTGCATGGCACTGACTGGCTCTGGATGTTTCTGAATTATTCATTAAAATGACACTGAATGCCATTCCCCTGCTGCAGATCGCCGAGGTCCGCGCGCGGCTGAACGTGACGGTGGAGGTCACGCCAGGCACGGGCGTTGCTCCGGCTCCGGTCGAGTCGTTTGACGACATGGTGAGTTTATCAGTGCTTGTATGCTCTCCCTTGCACCCGAACGTATCAAAAAGCATCGTGTACCACAGCTACACCAACCCTACGCCCATCAGACCCATCTTACCAACACCCCGCCTTCCTCGTTTCCTTCCTTTCTTTCCCTCCACCCCGCCAACCTCAGGGTCTGCCCCCGAACATATCAAAGGTCATCGTGTATCACAGCTACACCAACCCCACGCTCATCCAGACCCATCCCACAAATGTCCCGCCTTCACCGTTTTCCTCCTCTCTCCCTTCCCCGTCCTTTCCTCAGGGTCTGCACCCGAACATCTCAAAGGACATTGTGTACCACAGCTACACCAACCCCACGCCCATCCAGGCGCAGGCCATGCCCATCGCCCTCTCCAACCGCGACCTCCTCGGCTGCGCTGAAACCGGCAGCGGCAAAACCGCCGCTTTCGCCATCCCCATGATCCAAGTGAGCTTCCCTCACCTGCCATTCCATGTGTCCACACGCCTACACCAACCCCATGATCCTAGTACGCTGCCTGAGCTCCCATACGAGGCGAATCAAAAGCCAACGCCTCCTTGTTCCTTCTCCCTCCCCTGTTCACTCCATCCCCATGGTTCACGGACGCTCACTGCTACTGAATCTCCTGTCTCTTGTTCACGCAAAGAACGGGATAGGTGAATGCTCTGGATGCCCCTCCACCCTCCCTCGCCGGATCCTGCATGTTATCCGCTTCCCGTCCCGTTTGCCTCAAACCACCTGTTCTTCCCGTCTCCCCTCCCCTTCCCCCGACCCCCCCCTTTATTTCTCGCGTCTGCCCACAGCACTGCCTGCATCAAGCCCCTCTGCGGCCGGGCGACGGGCCTCTGGCGCTCGTGCTGGCGCCCACGCGCGAGCTGGCACAGCAGATTGAGAAGGAGGTGAGGCATGAGATTCTCGCAAGTTCTGTTGTGTGAGTCAAGATTGTTTGTGGAGCTTGCTGTTGAATCTTCTGCCACCATAGACCCTGGACACACTCCACCACTTCTAACCTCCAGGTGAAAACCTTTCTATTGTCAAAATCTGGAAACCCCAAAACCCTGTACCCTGCAGGTGAAGGCGTTCAGCCTGTCATCGGATGGGTTCAAGACGGCGATCATAGTGGGCGGCACGCACATGAGCGAGCAGCGGTCGGTGCTGCGAGGGGGCGTGCAGGTGGTGGTGGCCACTCCGGGGCGATTCATCGACCATCTGCAGCAGGGCAACACGTCGCTCGCCCGCGTGTCCTTTGTCGTTCTGGACGAGGCTGACAGGATGCTTGACATGGGATTCGAGCCACAGATGAAGGAGGTGAGGGAGCAGATGAAGGAGGTGAGGGAGCAGATGAAGGAGGTGAGGGAGCAGATGAAGGAGGTGAGGGAGCAGATGAAGGAGGTGAGGGAGCAGATGAAGGAGGTGAGGGAGCAGATGAAGGAGGTGAGGGAGCAGATGAAGGAGGTGAGGGAGCAGATGAAGGAGGTGAGGGAGCAGATGAAGGAGGTGAGGGAGCAGATGAAGGAGGTGAGGGAGCAGATGAAGGAGGTGAGGGAGCAGATGAAGGAGGTGAGGGAGCAGATGAAGGAGGTGAGGGAGCAGATGAAGGAGGTGAGGGAGCAGATGAAGGAGGTGAGGGAGCAGATGAAGGAGGTGAGGGAGCAGATGAAGGAGGTGAGGGAGCAGATGAAGGAGGTGAGGGAGCAGATGAAGGAGGTGAGGGAGCAGATGAAGGAGGTGAGGGAGCAGATGAAGGAGGTGAGGGAGCAGATGAAGGAGGTGAGGGAGCAGATGAAGGAGGTGAGGGAGCAGATGAAGGAGGTGAGGGAGCAGATGAAGGAGGTGAGGGAGCAGATGAAGGAGGTGAGGGAGCAGATGAAGGAGGTGAGGGAGCAGATGAAGGAGGTGAGGGAGCAGATGAAGGAGGTGAGGGAGCAGATGAAGGAGGTGAGGGAGCAGATGAAGGAGGTGAGGGAGCAGATGAAGGAGGTGAGGGAGCAGATGAAGGAGGTGAGGGAGCAGATGAAGGAGGTGAGGGAGCAGATGAAGGAGGTGAGGGAGCAGATGAAGGAGGTGAGGGAGCAGATGAAGGAGGTGAGGGAGCAGATGAAGGAGGTGAGGGAGCAGATGAAGGAGGTGAGGGAGCAGATGAAGGAGGTGAGGGAGCAGATGAAGGAGGTGAGGGAGCAGATGAAGGAGGTGAGGGAGCAGATGAAGGAGGTGAGGGAGCAGATGAAGGAGGTGAGGGAGCAGATGAAGGAGGTGAGGGAGCAGATGAAGGAGGTGAGGGAGCAGATGAAGGAGGTGAGGGAGCAGATGAAGGAGGTGAGGGAGCAGATGAAGGAGGTGAGGGAGCAGATGAAGGAGGTGAGGGAGCAGATGAAGGAGGTGAGGGAGCAGATGAAGGAGGTGAGGGAGCAGATGAAGGAGGTGAGGGAGCAGATGAAGGAGGTGAGGGAGCAGATGAAGGAGGTGAGGGAGCAGATGAAGGAGGTGAGGGAGCAGATGAAGGAGGTGAGGGAGCAGATGAAGGAGGTGAGGGAGCAGATGAAGGAGGTGAGGGAGCAGATGAAGGAGGTGAGGGAGCAGATGAAGGAGGTGAGGGAGCAGATGAAGGAGGTGAGGGAGCAGATGAAGGAGGTGAGGGAGCAGATGAAGGAGGTGAGGGAGCAGATGAAGGAGGTGAGGGAGCAGATGAAGGAGGTGAGGGAGCAGATGAAGGAGGTGAGGGAGCAGATGAAGGAGGTGAGGGAGCAGATGAAGGAGGTGAGGGAGCAGATGAAGGAGGTGAGGGAGCAGATGAAGGAGGTGAGGGAGCAGATGAAGGAGGTGAGGGAGCAGATGAAGGAGGTGAGGGAGCAGATGAAGGAGGTGAGGGAGCAGATGAAGGAGGTGAGGGAGCAGATGAAGGAGGTGAGGGAGCAGATGAAGGAGGTGAGGGAGCAGATGAAGGAGGTGAGGGAGCAGATGAAGGAGGTGAGGGAGCAGATGAAGGAGGTGAGGGAGCAGATGAAGGAGGTGAGGGAGCAGATGAAGGAGGTGAGGGAGCAGATGAAGGAGGTGAGGGAGCAGATGAAGGAGGTGAGGGAGCAGATGAAGGAGGTGAGGGAGCAGATGAAGGAGGTGAGGGAGCAGATGAAGGAGGTGAGGGAGCAGATGAAGGAGGTGAGGGAGCAGATGAAGGAGGTGAGGGAGCAGATGAAGGAGGTGAGGGAGCAGATGAAGGAGGTGAGGGAGCAGATGAAGGAGGTGAGGGAGCAGATGAAGGAGGTGAGGGAGCAGATGAAGGAGGTGAGGGAGCAGATGAAGGAGGTGAGGGAGCAGATGAAGGAGGTGAGGGAGCAGATGAAGGAGGTGAGGGAGCAGATGAAGGAGGTGAGGGAGCAGATGAAGGAGGTGAGGGAGCAGATGAAGGAGGTGAGGGAGCAGATGAAGGAGGTGAGGGAGCAGATGAAGGAGGTGAGGGAGCAGATGAAGGAGGTGAGGGAGCAGATGAAGGAGGTGAGGGAGCAGATGAAGGAGGTGAGGGAGCAGATGAAGGAGGTGAGGGAGCAGATGAAGGAGGTGAGGGAGCAGATGAAGGAGGTGAGGGAGCAGATGAAGGAGGTGAGGGAGCAGATGAAGGAGGTGAGGGAGCAGATGAAGGAGGTGAGGGAGCAGATGAAGGAGGTGAGGGAGCAGATGAAGGAGGTGAGGGAGCAGATGAAGGAGGTGAGGGAGCAGATGAAGGAGGTGAGGGAGCAGATGAAGGAGGTGAGGGAGCAGATGAAGGAGGTGAGGGAGCAGATGAAGGAGGTGAGGGAGCAGATGAAGGAGGTGAGGGAGCAGATGAAGGAGGTGAGGGAGCAGATGAAGGAGGTGAGGGAGCAGATGAAGGAGGTGAGGGAGCAGATGAAGGAGGTGAGGGAGCAGATGAAGGAGGTGAGGGAGCAGATGAAGGAGGTGAGGGAGCAGATGAAGGAGGTGAGGGAGCAGATGAAGGAGGTGAGGGAGCAGATGAAGGAGGTGAGGGAGCAGATGAAGGAGGTGAGGGAGCAGATGAAGGAGGTGAGGGAGCAGATGAAGGAGGTGAGGGAGCAGATGAAGGAGGTGAGGGAGCAGATGAAGGAGGTGAGGGAGCAGATGAAGGAGGTGAGGGAGCAGATGAAGGAGGTGAGGGAGCAGATGAAGGAGGTGAGGGAGCAGATGAAGGAGGTGAGGGAGCAGATGAAGGAGGTGAGGGAGCAGATGAAGGAGGTGAGGGAGCAGATGAAGGAGGTGAGGGAGCAGATGAAGGAGGTGAGGGAGCAGATGAAGGAGGTGAGGGAGCAGATGAAGGAGGTGAGGGAGCAGATGAAGGAGGTGAGGGAGCAGATGAAGGAGGTGAGGGAGCAGATGAAGGAGGTGAGGGAGCAGATGAAGGAGGTGAGGGAGCAGATGAAGGAGGTGAGGGAGCAGATGAAGGAGGTGAGGGAGCAGATGAAGGAGGTGAGGGAGCAGATGAAGGAGGTGAGGGAGCAGATGAAGGAGGTGAGGGAGCAGATGAAGGAGGTGAGGGAGCAGATGAAGGAGGTGAGGGAGCAGATGAAGGAGGTGAGGGAGCAGATGAAGGAGGTGAGGGAGCAGATGAAGGAGGTGAGGGAGCAGATGAAGGAGGTGAGGGAGCAGATGAAGGAGGTGAGGGAGCAGATGAAGGAGGTGAGGGAGCAGATGAAGGAGGTGAGGGAGCAGATGAAGGAGGTGAGGGAGCAGATGAAGGAGGTGAGGGAGCAGATGAAGGAGGTGAGGGAGCAGATGAAGGAGGTGAGGGAGCAGATGAAGGAGGTGAGGGAGCAGATGAAGGAGGTGTGGGGACAGATGAAGGAGGTGAGGGAGCAGATGAAGGAGGTGAGGGAGCAGATGAAGGGAGGTGAGGGAGCAGATGAAGGAGGTGAGGGAGGCAGATGAAGGAGGTGAGGGAGCCAGATGAAGGAGGTGAGGGAGCAGATGAAGGAGGTGAGGGAGCAGATGAAGGAGGTGAGGGAGCAGATGAAGGAGGTGAGGGAGCAGATGAAGGAGTGAGGGAGCAGATGGAAGGAGGTGAGGGGAGCAGATGAAGGAGGTGAGGGAGCAGATGAAGGAGGTGAGGAGCGCAGATGAAGGAGGTGAGGGAGCAGATGAAGGAGGTGAGGGAGCAGATGAAGGAGGTGAGGAGCGCAGATGAGGGAAGTGAGGGATGCAAGAACGAAGTTCGGTTGAAGAGAGAGGGAAGAGTTGAAAGGGAGTGGAGGTGATGCTGTGATGGTGTGGGACGAGGCTGACTGCATGGTTGGCATGGGGTTCAAGCCCCCTCCCTCAGATCATGTAAAACCTGCCGAAGCAGCACCAGACACTGCTTTTCTCTTTAGAGGCACTGTTTTTTTCCAGGTTCTTTTTAGAATGAACCCCCCCCGTCTTACACCTCCCCCCCCCCCGTCTTACACCCCCCCCCCCCCCCCCTCCCCCCCCCCCCGTTCCCACCCCCCGCTCCCACCTCTTCACCGTCTTCCCCCCAGATTATGGCGAATCTGCCGAAGCAGCACCAGACGCTGCTGTTCTCAGCGACGATGCCGGAGGAGATAGAGGCGCTGGCGCAGGAGTACCTCCGCACGCCCGTGCGCGTCAAGGTGGCTGTGGTTGAGGTGGCTCACAAACTGGCCCAGGAGTGCCACAAGAACCCTGTGCGCGTCAAGATGGGGCGCTACTCATGCCTCCTGCCTCTTCCCCCTCACCCTGTCTTTCATCCCCTGCCCTTTCCCCCCCACCGCCCCCCAGATCATGGCGAACCTCCCAAAGCAGCACCAGACGCTGCTGTTCTCGGCCACGATGCCGGAGGAGATAGAGGCGCTGGCGCAGGAGTACCTCCGCACGCCCGTGCGCGTCAAGGTGGGGCGTGTGAGCAGCCCCACTCAGAACGTGACTCAGTCGCTGGAGAAGGTCGCTGAGAAGGACAAGGTGGACCGGCTGCTACAGCTGCTGGTGGAGGAGATGGCAGCTGCAGAGAGCGGGCAGCAGCCGCTGCCTCTTACCATCGTCTTTGTGGAGCGCAAGGTGAGCTGTAGAGGCAGTCATTTATCGTTCAGTCGTTTAGCCTGCCTCTGAGTCGACTCGAAAGCTTCTGTGATGGAGCCCGTCACAGATAGAGCAGCACGCTGAGAGACAAGGTGGGGCGTAAGGTGAGCAGCCCCACTCAGAACGTGACCCAGTCGCTGGAGAAGGTCGCCGAGAAGGACAAGGTGGACCGGCTGCTACAGCTGCTGGTGGAGGAGATGGCCGCTGCAGAGAGCGGGCAGCAGCCGCTGCCTCTCACCATCGTCTTTGTGGAGCGCAAGGTGAGCTGTAGAGGCAGTCATTTATCGTTCAGTCGTTTAGCCTGCTTTTGAGTCGACTCGAAAGCTTCTGTGACGGAGCCCGTCACAGATAGAGCAGCACGCTGAGAGACAAGGTGCGGCGCATGAGCAGCCCCACCCAGAACGTGACCCAGTCGCTGGAGAAGGTCGCTGAGAAGGACAAGGTGGACCGGCTGCTACAGCTGCTGGTGGAGGAGATGGCAGCTGCAGAGAGCGGGCAGCAGCCGCTGCCACTCACCATCGTGTTTGTGGAGCGCAAGGTGAGATGCAGGGGGTAGTCTTTGAGCCGAGGGTGCTTCTGTGTTGAAGCTACTCACGCATAGACTGTCACTTACGAGCGCAAGGTGAGCAGGAAGGGCTTGTGGTTAAGCTGAGACTTATTGTGTGCTGAGCATGTTTTCTGCTCGCAATGTGTCAACCAGCTCATTTGTCACCCCTCTGCCAATCAGCGTTGCTTGTTTCTTTCAGCAGCAAATCAGTGCCAACATCGCCCTAGCCCTCTCGCCCTTCTTCCGAACACCCTATCCTGTTGTCCCCTCATAGCACAATCCTGTTCTTTCTTTCACCCCTTCACATCCTCTCCCATTGTCACGTCATATCAACAACAAGAGGTGAAGTGCGACGAGGTGTGTGAGGCGCTCACAGCACAGGGCCTCAAGGCAGCAGCAACTCCTGTTCCTCTGTCACCCTCTCACCCTCCTTCCTGCTGTCCCCCTCTCTCCCCTTCCCACTGTCACCTCACAACAACAACAGGTGAAGTGCGAGGAGGTGTGTGAGGCGCTGACCGCACAGGGCCTCAAGGCAGCAGCAACTCCTGTTCTGCAATCTATCTCACCCCTTTCCCCGCTGTCCCCTCCCTTGCCCCTGTCCCCACCGTCCCCCACCGCCAGGTGAAGTGCGACGAGGTGTGTGAGGCGCTGACCGCACAGGGGCTCAAGGCAGCGGCACTGCATGGTGGGCGCAGCCAGGGGGAGAGAGAGGCCGCACTGCTGGACTTCCGCAAAAACACCATCAACATCCTCGTGAGGGGTCACGGCTGGGTGCTGGGCACTGGGTGTTGGGCACTGGGTGCTAGGTTATTTTCTCGGCTTGTTGCTGGGTTGTTGGTGCTTGTTGCTCGTAACAAATCGCTGCTGGAATTCCACAAGAACGCCATCAAAATCCTCGTGGCTGCTCATGGCAGGGTGCTGGATGCTGGTGACTTGTTTCTTGGCTTGTTGCTGGGTTTCGACTTCTTGTTGCTCGTGACGACTTGCTGCTGGTCTTCCAGAAAAGAACACCATCAACGTCCTTGTTCGTGTTGGGCACTGGTCGCTCATGCAGCTAATCACCCGTCCATCTCTGCTTGTGGCAACGGATGTGGCATCAACAGTGATCATTACTTAGGCGACTCAAAATCCATACTGTGCACGGACGTGGCATCAAACAATAATGATTTTTTGTCGACTCAAAATCCATACTGTGCATGCCAACCATGTGTTCATCCCTGCAGGTAGCAACGGACGTGGCATCAAGCCGTAATTATTATAGACTTAAAAGGCATACTGTCCATGCGAGTCACGAGTCATCCCTGCAGGCGGCAACGGACGTGGCATCAAACAATAATGATTTCTTGTCGACTTAAAAGCCATACTGTGCATGCCAACCACGCGTTTATCCCTGCAGGTGGCAACGGACGTGGCATCAAGAGGACTGGACGTGTCGGGAGTGGCTCTCGTGGTCAACATGGACCTCCCCAAGGTGACCCTTGCTTGCCCTCTGCTGCATGCATCATGCGTCATGGGACATGTGCATCATGCCTCATGCCTCATGCCCCATCCGACATGCCTCAGCCTCGCACCTCATGCATCATGCGGTATAGAATTGATGAACTTGTCTCACATTACTCTTCACCCTTCCGACCTCCCTCCCTCCGGCCCTAGAGGGCTACGTGCACCGCATTGGTGTGTCTTGACAAGTAGTGAAAATCGCCTTACACTACTCCTCATCCTCCTTGCCTAGGTGACTTTTGAGTCGACTCAAAAGTCACCTAGTAGTGAAAATCGCTTTACACTACTCCTCATCCCCCTTGCCTAGGTGACTTTTTTAGTCAACGCAAAAGTCACCTAGTAGTGAAAATCGCTTTAACTACTCCTCATCCCCCCTGCCTAACACTACTCCTCATCCCCCCTGCCTAACACTACTCCTCATCCCCCCTGCCTAACACTACTCCTCATCCCCCCTGCCTAACACTATTCCTCATCTCCCCTGCCTCCCCTCACAGGCCCTAGAGGGCTACGTGCACCGCATTGGTGTGTCTTGACAAGTAGTGAAAATCGCTTTACACTACTCCTCATCCCCCTTGCCTAGGTGACTTTTGAGTCGACTCAAAAGTCACCTAGTAGTGAAAATCGCTTTACACTACTCCTCATCTCCCCCGCCTCCCCTCACAGGCCCTAGAGGACTACGTGCACCGCATCGGTGTGGCTTTCTGGAGTAGTGAAATCTGCCTCAATACGACTCATCCCCCTCGCCTCCCCTCACAGGCCCTAGAGGACTACGTGCACCGCATTGGTCGAACAGGGCGGGCGGGGGCGTCTGGGCGAGCTCTGTCGTTCTACACCGATAGGGATGCGGTGAGATGGGGCGCATGGTGATGGGTGCATGGAGATGGGGGGCATGGTGATGGGTGCATGGTGATGGGCGCATGGTGATGGGGGGCATGGTGATTGGGGGCATGGTGGGGTATTGAGCATGTCTCTTGCACGCAGCCTCCTTTTCTAGCACAAGCACATTCTCTTATGCATGTCATACACTCGTCTTTACCGATTGCCGGATTCACAACAGTCCATGAAATCTCAGAAGCGGTTCTCTTTTGTTCTTGCTCTTCAGTTCTTGGTGGCGCAGATCAAGAAAGCGCTATCAGAGGCAGAGGCAGGCAACACGATGGCGTTCGCCACTGGCAAGGTATGGCAACAATGTCACGCTGCCCTTTCGAGGCACCTCAAATGGCGACTTTTGAGGCGCCTCAAATGGCGTTCGCGACTGGCAAGGTATGGCAACAATGTCGCACTGCCCTTTCCTGGCATGGTAGGCATTGTCAGAGGTTGAGGCAGGCAGGTAACACAGTGTTGTTTGCCAGTGGTGAGGTGAGGGATGGTATAAGGTAAGTTTAATATAAGGAAAATACCTCAATCCCTTTCCCCGCATCCCCCATCTGCCATTGCGTTTTCCCATCTCTCACCTCATTTTTTAGCCCTTGTGCCTCATCATCCCACAATTCTCATCCCTTGTCTCCCCCGTCATCTCTCAGGCTGCAAGGAGGAAGGAGAAGGAGGAGGCAGCAGCATTCCGGGAGAATCGTTCATCAACAGCAACAAATGTGACGATGATAGGGGCAACAGCAGTGAATATAGTGGATCAGAAGTACAAGCACATGATTGCGGCTCAAGCGGGGCCGGACAAGGTGGAGGGGGCGGCAGATGATGCGTGGGATGATTAGGATCTGGGAGCTGCGACGTGGACAATTGATAGCAGAAAGTGAGAGATTCAAAACGTTTATGTTCAAATTGACAGCTGCTGCCAATGGCAAGCAAACGTGGGCGGAAGATGACACTTCTGTTGTGGAGTTGATTCATTCCAGATTATTGCTATCCATATTATATCATTAGTGGAATTTAGCTGGTTTCTGACACGCAGAATGCGTTGTGGTCCATGGTGCGTTTTTTTCCTGGATCTTCGCAGGACCAAGTTGTTACAAGGCAATCCCGACGAACCGACAGGCAACCTACAGCCCCTCCACTCCGTCACTTGAGCCGCCCCTCCGACAAAGCCTCGAGCATGACAGCCGGACGAACGAAATGACGAAACAGCAAAAGCAGTGTCGTGCATTCGCAATGACAAGATCGAGCTTTCGCAACCGTCGAAGCACCTGCCCCTACGGCACCTCCTTCATCGACACGTGTCCTTTCTTCTGCCAGCCCAAGCCGACCGCACCGCCATCCAATGTCGCGGCTCGATGCTGGAAATTCCAGAATCAGGCAGCATAAATTCCAACACTCCATCCCACCCAACCCAAGACATCGCCAATTCCTCACACACTCAATCCTGCACATCAATCCAATCACAACTGCTACCATTCTATAGCGCCTGAAGCACACCCACAAAAACTCGTCATCCCGCAACACACGCTCAACTATGGCTGCGTCCACCATTCGCGTCCAGGCTGCCTTTTTTCTTGCACTCCTCCTCTCAGGTACGATACATTTTCTTTCTCTTGCATGTCATGCATGGATCCGTCACCTGAAATTATGGTCCTAAAATTCTACGGAACTGACCTGTGCTCATGCTCTCCTGCTTTTCTTCTCCGTTGCGCCTTTCCACCTCGATGCAGCTTTGATTACTCCCCCGGCGTCTGCGATAAGGCTGGGGATGCGAACGCAAGTTTTGGGTGAGCAAACCTGCTCTCTTGGAACAGCTAGGAATAAACTTTCCAACTAAATGCACTTCTTTGGGTTACGGTTCTGTTCCCAATGACTCGGATTCAGTATCTCATTTTCCCATAAATTCTGCTCCACCAATAACGCCATCACTTCCTGATGTGTGGCTCCACCAATAATTTTACCCCTGCGTGCAGCATCGGTGGGCGGCCCTCTGGTGATGTGTGGCTCTGGCGAGACGGAGGGGTCAGCCCAGCTGGAGCTCGTGAGACGGTGAGACGCACAGGCACTCGTGATAAGCTAAGCACCCCTGGACACCCCTGAGAACCCCTGAGAAACCCTCAGCACTCCGTCCCTGGCGAGACGGAGGGGTCAGCCCAGGTGGAGCTCGTGAGACGGTGAGGCGCACAAGCACTCATGATAAGCTAAGCACCCCTGGATACCCCTGAGAACCCCTGAGCAACCCTCAGCACTCCGTCCCTGGCGAGACGGAGGGGTCAGCCCAGCTGGAGCTCGTGAGAAGGTGAGGCGAAGAGGCACTCATGAGATGGTGAGGCGCACAGGCACTCGAGAGCACTCGTAAGGCAACCACAGATTTTCCAATGCCGTAAAGAAGCGCATGCACTCTCTGAAGAAATATGCTTTGTCACTTACCTCAACAGTATTTCTTGTCACTTCATTTATCCTTCTTGCACGGCCATACATAGATCTTAGCCCCCCAGCATCGTCCCCCATACCATTGTTTGTATCCCTCACTCGTCTCCCTCATCCCCCTCCCCCCAACAACCCCTTTCCCTCCGCCACACCACAGGGGCGTGGCTCTCTTCCTCACCTACAGGCTCACCACCCAGGCCGGCACTCGCCCCTCCTCCAAGCCCCACCTCCTCACCACCAACCCCTACCCCTCCTCCTCCGCCACCACTGCCACCACCGCTTCTCTCTCCCTCGACCCGGCTCTCTCGGCTCATCTTGGCAGCTCTCTCTCCGCCAATCCCCTCAACGCCACCGCGGCCGCTGCTGCTGGAGCCTCAGCCAGCCTTCTCAACACCTCCGCGGGAGTTGGCGCTACCGTTGGGGCGTCTCTTCCCAATGGAATGGTGGACGCAGCTGGGGGAGTATCAGCCTCCACAGGCCTTTCTCAACACGTCAGCTGGCATTGGCGCCACCGTGGGGGCGTCTCTTCCCAATGGAACGGTGGATGCAGCAGGAGGAGTCTCGGCTTCTACCGGGCTCATGGGCACATCTGCTGGTGTTGGCGCTACTCTTGGAGCGTCTCTTCCCAACGGAATGGTGAACACAGCAGTGTTAGGGTTGGTTCGCCCAACCACGGAACCTACGGCGAAAGCTTCTACGACGGCGGAATGACGGCGAAATGGAAGCACGTGGATGATTCTAGGTGAAACGGTGGAAATCGGCCTACGGTGGAGAATGGAAGCTACGGCGTGAGAAGCAAGAGAGAAATTGGGAAGAAACTAGAGAAATGGAGGAAGAAGAGTGAAGAAGTATCGAGATTGGAGTTGGATTCGGACTCGAGGAGTGTTCGGCGAATTCGGTTCGGTTCCGTGTGCGACTCGGGGTGAAACGAGGCGCACGTGGTTACTTGGAAAACAAGTGAAGTTACGAATCGCATTTTGTGTCGACGATAAAACTGCTTGTACTCATTCTGGAAATCACAACATTGGACAACATTGAGATTCTGAAATTGCTGAAGTGTGTATTGACAACTTCAAGCAGAGCTGCGCATATCGTTGGATTTGGGAGATCGTGGAGAACACGATAAGCAATAGCAAGTAGACTATTGCCAACTAAGGTGTTTACGATCCTAAGAACTGGTATCAGAGCTTGGCGAACGGGCGCGTCGATCGCGGTGAATTCACTTGGTGCGCTAAGTGAAATTAGTGGAGAAGAGGAGTCGTTCACGCCTACGCTATGGGAGACGAGGCGAGTTCGGGTTCCAGTGTAAGTCTTGGAGACCCGCAGTTGAAGGCTCTTCTCGAGGCCCTTGCGAGTGGCCGATTGGTGGCGAAACCGACGATCGGGCTCACTGAAGCCCAGCGCTTCAACGGGAGCAACTACAACGTGTGGCGGAAGAAGTTTATTCGTAGGGCAGAGGAGGTTGACCTCTTGCCGTACTACCGTCCCGACGAGGAGACGATGGAGGGAGTTGCGCCTTCCACGACGGATACGAAGGAGAAAATAGCGGCGTTCAAAAAACAAAGTAAGCAAGCGTTCTTTCAGCTTTGTCACTCAGTTGCCGACGGAATCGCGGTGGATTTGGACCAGTTTGCAGGGGAGCTGAACTCTGCACAGCGAGCGTGGGAGTACCTGGAGTCCACGTACATGGGTACGAACGATGTCAACAAGAAGGCGATTAGGAAGCAACTGCTGATGCTGAGCATGGAGAAAGGCGAGAAAATCATCACCTACATCAACAGGGCGAAAAACTACAACGACGACTTGCGGGTGATGGGAGCCGCGGAGACGGAGCACGAGATGATTGACTATATCATCCAAGGCCTTCCTAAGGAGTGGGAATCCGACATCGGTATGTTTACGTACCAACCGCCGGAGAGTTTGACGAAGCTGCAGGAGATTCTGCAATCGCTTGAGACGGTGAAGGAGATGAGGAAAAAGAAAGCGGCAGCAGCAGCGGAATTAGACGAGGAGAGGTCGGCTATGGTGAATGCGACAAAGGCGTTTGGAGCGTGCTACCAGTGTGGAAAGAGGGGGCATAAGGCGATAAACTGCTACGAAAACCCGCGAAGCAGAAACTACAAGGGCAAAGCGGTGGAGAACGAGAAAGGAGAAAATGGGGGAGCAGAGTGGCAACAGAAACGAGGTTTTGGCGGCAAGTGCGATTATTGTGGGCGCTATGGGCATCGTGCCGCAGAGTGCTACTCCAATCCGAACAGCAGGAGCTACAAGGGTCCGTCGCAGCAGAGGATTGTGGCGGGTAAGGCGAATGTAGCGGAAGCCGAAAAGGAGGATGTGATTTTGGGAGGAGCGCATCTTGCGAACGTGGTGCGTTTACCAAAGGAGGTTCGGCAGACGGACGATCGTGAGAAGACGGCATGGTTCATGGACAGCAGATGCACGCGTCACATGACATTCAGGTCAGATTGGATGGAGAATGTGAGGGACTCGAGTGAGGATTATATACTGCAAGGTAACAGCGGGAAGTTGCCAGTGACAGGAGAGGGTGACGTGGTGCTGCAGAGTCCGTATGGAGAGGTGAAACTGGACAGTGTGCTGCTGGTTGAGGATTTAAAGGTGAATTTGGTCAGTCAGTCACAGCTTGATGACTTGGGGTGCAAGATATTTTATGACAAAGGCGAGGTTACAGTGTTTGGTCCTGAGTGGGAGAAGTATGCCGATGGATACTTCAGTGACGGGTTCTATGAGATGAACTTGATAGCGATGAACGACAAGGATGAGATCTATGAGGATCCTGAGTCTACTGAGGTTGATGAGAGCGAGGACACGGATGATACGGCAGCGAGTGTGGAGGCAGCAGTGAAGCAGAAAGAGGAGATAGTCGCCATGGAGGCAGCAGCAGTGAATGGTGGAGATGGAGTTGGTGTCAACACTTTTGCAGCAGCGGTCGTGGTTAAAGATGAAGCAGTAAATGCGAAGTGTGTGGGAGTTGAAGCTGTGAAAGGGGGCATCATGGTGAAGGGATCAACGGCGAATGCAACTGCAAAGGGGCGAGTGCTTATGAAAGAGGAACACGTTGAGGGGTACAAGACCCGAGAGGTGTTGGGTGCTAAGATGCCGAGGAGAAGTGAGAGACTTAAGAAAATGTCTCAAGGTTTGGACGTCAATGCGCTCAAATTTAAGACACGTAAGGAGAGGTTCAAGGTGGAGGACCTGCAGGAGAGCTTGAAGCCGACTTAGACCCTGTGAAGGCTACAAGAAGCAGGGGAGGAGTGCGAGTGGTGTTCGTGGTTGACGAACCACAGGGGAGATTGTTAGGGTTGGTTCGCCCAACCACGGAACCTACGGCGAAAGCTTCTACGACGGCGGAATGACGGCGAAATGGAAGCACGTGGATGGTTCTAGGTGAAACGGTGGAAATCGGCCTACGGTGGAGAATGGAAGCTACGGTGTGAGAAGCAAGAGAGAAATTGGGAAGAAACTAGAGAAATGGAGGAAGAAGAGTGAAGAAGTATCGAGATTGGAGTTGACAAGGGGAAATTGTGGTTCGAGACTGAGGCGTGTTCGAGAAGGTGCTGGATTCGGACTCGAGGAGTGTTCGGCGAATTCGGTTCGGTTCCGTGTGCGACTCGGGGTGAAACGAGGCGCACGCGGTTACTTGGGAAACAAGTGAAGTTACGAATCGCATTTTGTGTCTTGCTTGACCATAAAACTGCTTGTACTCATTCTGGAAATCACAACATTGGACAACATTGAGATTCTGAAATTGCTGAAGTGTGTATTGACAACTTCAAGCAGAGCTGCGCATATCGTTGGATTTGGGAGATCGTGGAGAACACGATAAGCAATAGCAAGTAGACTATTGCCGACTAAGGTGTTTACGATCCTAAGAAGCAGGACGTGTCTCTGCCTCCACTGCTCTGCTCAACACATCAGCAGGGGTGGGCGCTGGTGCTGCCGTCTCCCTCCCCAACGGCTCTGTCGCTGCAGCGGGTGATCTCTCTGCTTCCACCGCCCTCCTCAACACATCCGCTGGTGTTGGAACCACCGTTGGCGTCTCCCTTCCTACCGGCACTGTCTCTGGATCCGGTGCTCTCTCTGCTTCCACCGGCCTCCTCAACACATCCGCCGGGTTAGGAGCCTCTGCCGGGCTCTCCCTTCCCAACGGCACTGTCGCTGCAACGGGCGGCGTTGCTGCTTCCACCGGCTTGCTCAACACGTCAGCCGGCGTGGGAGCGGGAGTGGGCGTGTCTCTCCCCAATGGCTCTCTCTCCGGCTCTGCCTCCCTTGGTGCCTCCTCCCCTCTCCTCAACACTTCAGCCGGCGCCGGGGCTGCCGTCAACGCAGGCTCGGGTGGCGTCAACGCCAACCTCGGAGCCTCGGCAAACCTCGGAGGCTCGGTCTCCGGCCTCATCTCCGGCGTGGGCGGGGCTGTGGGGAACCTCGTAGGCTCGGCAGGGAACATGGCAGGCTCGGTGGGCAACATGGGAGCCTCGGTCTCAGCCTCTCTTTCCCCGATGGTGGTTCTGAAAGGCGGGTGGGTGGCTACCAGTGGTGGCGCCTACGCCATGGTCGGGCAGACTCGAGTGTCGGCAGCGCTGGCATCGGCCCTCGTGACCCGCATGTCCACCAACATGCCTATCTTCCTGCACGTGCATGCCGGCGCACAGGGTACCCTCGTGGCTCGCATGGAGTAGAGTGGGTGAGGGATGGAGGGGAGCTGCTCGTCGGTGCACAGGGCAGCCTTGTGGCTCGCATGAAGTAGAGGGGTTGGCGGAGGCAGGGCAGGGCACGGGGGAGCAGGGGATGGGTGCATATGAGCTGCTCTCTTATGTACGGCTGTGGAGGAGGTACACCTTCTGCTATTGTATATGTCAGGTGGTGTTCGAGTGTTGACATACGGTATGGTTATCGCCTGGGTCTGGTTTGCTCAAGTGGATGAGCTGCGCTGTGTGAGCTTTAGAGGGGAAGGGGATGCATCTTTTGGTGTGGGAGTGAAGTTGTGAATCAGGTGAGTGGGGTCTGCAGAAGGGAAGGCAGTTAGGGTCGGGCAAAGGAGGGGATTGAAGACGGTGGGTGTTGGAGCATGGAGGGCATGAGGAGTGTCGGAGGACGGGGCGCATTTGATGGTGGCAGGGAGGACAAGCATGCATGGGAGGAAGCTGCAAGTCAAGCATTTGATGGTTAATGGCTCTCTCTCTCACAGCCCAAGCAGGCACTTAGCTAAGCACTCAGTGCTGCTGATGCTCATTCACGCCACTGCTGGCGTTGTTTTCTAGTCTCTGCTTGGGCTGTGAAACTGGGGAGACAGACAGATGCTGTTTTACTGTGCCTTGCATCTTCCTCCCTTGTGAATAAATGCCTTCTAGTGGACCCATGTTTATTTTGCATCTTTACATTTACCTCCTGGCTGAACCATGTACCTCCCGCCTGACCGAAGCATTTAGTAATACCTCCTGGCTTAAGTGATAAAGACCAAGGACGGATGACGTAACACAAGATAACGAATGAAAGAATAGACCAATGTAGAAAGTTGCACAGCAGCATAAGGCACTGAAAATATGGCCCCAGGTTCCGAACGCGACCCAACAAAGAGAACTACATCAGGGAAATCTAGTTAGGCAAGCGGAAGATAAGTACAGGTATGCAGTAACTTTGTAACGGGCTGATACAGGGAAGTATTTACAGGTGCCTGCTACACGCCCCAATCCATGCTGCTCTCAAACTTCCGCTTCCCCTTGAAGCTCCCTGCTGCGCAAACACAGGTCGAATGGAGCATAGGGAATATACACACAGGAGGATACGCACTCTGAGCAAAGGGATGTATGCTAGAAATGCAGTCACAGCACAAGAGGGAGGGGCACCGCGCCTCACTTGTAACTCCCCCCATCACCTCACTCACCTCCCCTCTCCTCCAGTCACCTCCTCTCTCAGTGGTAACACGCTCCCTGCTGCCAGCCTGCACAGGAACTCTCTTTCTCCTCCACCCGTTCCATCAACCTGCCCCACCTTCAATCACTCACCTCCTGGGCTTTGAGTTAACTAATAAATCTCACCTCCTTTTTCCTTAGCAACACGCTCCATGCTGCCGGCCTGAACATGACTGCTCTTGCTCCTCCGACTCTTTCCATCAACCTGCCTTCTCCTTCAATCACTCACCTCCTCTCTCAGCAACACGCTCCATGCTGCCGGCCTGCACAGGACTGCTCTTGCTCCTCCCACCCAATCCATCAGCCTGCCTCCTGTCGTTTCCTCCACCTCCGCCCCTACCACATCCTTTACTTCTGTCCCTATTCCACTCCCCATCCTGCTCTGCATCCCCGCCGTTCCCTCTCCCTCTTCCCCTGTCAGTCTCTCTCCTCCTCTTCCCGTGGTTCTCGTCCTCCTCATGGTCGTCCGTATCTCTCTCCTCCTCTCCACTTTCTCCTCCTCCACTCTCCCACTCCCAATCTCTGCCCCTGTCCCTGTTCCTGTCCCTGTCTATGCCACTATTCATTCGTCTCTCTCTGCTTCCCTCCCCATCTCTGCATCTCCTCTTACCACCCTCCCACGTCTCCTCTGCACCCACGAACCCCCCTCTATGGTCAACTATATTCAGGATTCCTGCTCCGGCCGAACCCCTAGCCTGCTCCCGAACCTGCCCCCGAGCCTCCATCCCCATGGCCCTTGCTGGTTCGGAAAAGCCCCGGCCAGAAGGTGACTCCCGGGCAGAAAGGCGGGCATGAGGGCTGTGATTGGCTGAAATCTGCCCAGAAAATGCACGCGTGGAACTAAGCTGCCTGGTAACCGCAGGGCTGGTGCTAACAGCGGCTCTGCTGGTTGCCCGTGCAGCTGGGGAGGAGGAGAGCGAGGAGGGTCTGTGCGTGTATGAGCGGGGCGGGGAGTAGTTGAGAGGTTTCTTCTTGATGTCTGACACTAGGCGTGCCTGCACACTGCAAGGTGCGATGGAGCAGAGTAGGGGAGGAGGGAGAGAGAGAAGGCAAAAGCTTGGGTTATTATGGGAGTAGTTGAGTGGTTTCTTCTTGATGTCTGACACTAGTCGTGCCTGCACACTGCAAGGAGAGACAGAGGAGACACGGGGAGAGGGAGAAGGCAAAGGCTCGGGACTATATCCCAGGCGAGCCTCTAAGTATGAAACTATCTCTGAAGCGCCTCACAAATGGACTCTGCCCACCTGTTCGCATATCCCAGGCGAGCCTTCTTGAGCATGGAAATATTTCTGAAGTGCCTCACACATAGACCCGCAACTATTTCTGCAACGCCTCACACATAGACCTGCAACTATTTCTGCAACGCCTCACACATAGACCCGCAACTATTTCTGCAACGCCTCCCACATAGACCCGCCCACCTGTTGGCATATCCCAGGCGAGCCTTCTTGAGCATGGAGCTGCCAGCCTTGTTCGCCCACGCTGCTGCTTGAGAGGAGGGCCCTGCAATTCAGTGGGGGGCGATGGGGAGTGATAGAGGGACAGTGATGGAGGGTGAATGTGAGGGGGGGTGACAGACAGGGTATGCGTGGCGATTCTTCTTGAGCATGGAGCTGCCAGCCTTGTTCGCCCACGCTGCTGCTTGAGAGGAGGGCGCTGCAATTCAGTGCGGGGTGAGGGGGAGTGATCGAGGGACAGTGATGGAGGGTGAATGTGAGGGGGGGTGACAGACAGGGTATGCGTGGCGAGCCTTCTTGAGCATGGAGCTGCCAGCCTTGTTCGCCCACGCTGCTGCTTGAGAGGAGGGCGCTGCAGGGGCAGTGGGGGGTGAGGGGGAGTGATAGAGGGACAGTGAGGGTTGAGGGGAGAGATAGAGGGCAAGTGAGGGGTGGGGGAGAGTGAGACAGCGAGGGGCGAGGGGAGCGACAAGCAGGGTAAGAGTGATAGACGGCTTATGATTGCAAGACCGCAGCATCAGAGTTTTAAATAACAAGGACCACCAGTAATGACATACCTGATGGCAGATCCAAAAACCGAAGAGAAAAAACACCTGAAGCACCTGATAGCACACCTGAGGAGAACATTCTCCTGCGTGTGACTGAGAGGCGCGGCTTCTCGAGCACCTGCAGCCGACGCTGCTTTTTCACTGGCGGAAACAAGACGTGGGGGAAGAGGTGACAGCAGGCGAAGGAAGAATGGTCGTAAGTGACAACGAATGAGGAAGACAGATACACGTCGAAAACAGCAAGCAAACCCATGGTCAGAGGAAAACCTGTTAGCCGGAAGGAGCAAAAAACAGATGCTGAATGAACACTGGTTAAACAGGGGCAATTTCATCTAACGTGGTTAAACACTATCTGATGCCGTTTGCGCCTTGCGGAGCAATCTCTAATGCCTGAAAGCACTGCTCAGCTTGTTTTATGGCGTCTCACCCTCCTCCGCGTTTACCCAAACCTTTGTACCTTCCTCTGCCCGGTGATAGGGCTCTTTCAACCGCGAAACACACTTGTGCTGAAGTTTTAGTCGTCTAAAAGAATCAGCTTCGTACCTTCATCTGCCCGGTGATAGAGCTCTTTCAGTCGCGACACGCACTTCTGCTGCGTGCGATCATCCGCCTGCTGCCGAGCCTGGCGTGTGAAGGGCACAGAGGAGGAAGGGCACAGACGAGGGGGGGCGCAGAGGAAGGGCGCGGCACAGAGGAGGGGGGGGGGCACAGAGGAGGGGAGGCGATTTTTAAGTCGACAAAAAAAATGCTTGCTGCTGATCCTGACATGCGGACGGCCGAGGGAGAGGGGGGGGGGGGGTGGAATGAGATGAAGTGCAGCGAGGAGGGAGAGAGTGGTCTCAGTGGTTCTAAAGCGTGAGTGTGGAGAAGTGTGGGAAAGCGGCAGAGTTCTCATGCCAATGACCTGCGCCCAGAACTAAACCTAAGTTTCTGAGGCCTGGAGCTTACATGGTACAGCTGGCGCCACGTGTAGAGTACTTTCGCTTGCTTCATTCTGTCCTGAACCTGCTGCGCGCCATCCATGCCGTACCTGCATCATGGTGATGGTTGATGAGTGATGGGTGATGGTTGATGGTTGAAGGGTCATGGCCCATGGCTCATGGCTCATGGTTGATTGGACATTGTCAGGATGGGGAGAACATGGAAATGCACGAAAGCGAAGGACGGGGAGGAGGAAAAAAGGCGGAGAGTCTAGGCGTGCGCACCTGCGTTCGTAGCACCGCTCCCAGAGGTCGTCTGTGAAAGGGGTAAAGTCACGATCCTGAACAGGAAACCGGAAACAAACAGGGAAAGTGATAGCAGTACTGTCGTTAAAACGGTATAGGGATAGCATCTTGACTGAATCCAGTGCTGGCAAATGCATTTTGACCTGATTACGTTCAGCTTTCGATCGGCGATTGATCCGCGCTACAATGCTCGAACACGGTACGCAGATGAGGGAGGTCTACAGAACGTAGAAAATAAGCTGCTCTTTTGAGAACGACCTTATTTTCGTTCTAAATCCGGTCCAGTTGATCCGCGGCGCAGTGTTCGAACACGGGTCGCAGCAGCGACAGGCCCAAAGAAGGAATGAAATCTGCTTCTTATTCTTAGCTGACCTTATTTTCATTCTCAATCCGGTCCAGTTGATCCGCCGTGCAGTGTTCAAATACGGGTCGCAGCAGCGACAGGTCCATGTCGCCAAGGTCGCCCAGCAGGTCGCGATGGTCGATCAGCGACAACACACACAGCGTCGCCAGCGACTCCACCGCCATTTCGTCGCATGCGAGGGAAAGCGAAGCGGTCAGATGAAGCTAAGCGGTGCTATAACGAGGCTGAGCAGTCTTATACCGAGCTTAAGCGGTCTAACGATGAAACGAAGCGGTATTCTCTGGAACTAAGCGGTCTTACGATGAATCTAGACGGTATTCCGTACTCGATAACTATAGTAAGAGGTGTAACCCAAAAAAATAGGGGATGTACTGAGGCAAACACAGGACGCCGGGAGCTGCGACGAAAGAACCTACGTCGAGAGCGAAACAACGACGCACAACGTCTTTCTGCCTATGAAGAGTCTTTCAGATTTAGTCGTCATCCTCCTACGCTCCTAATCATCACAATCCACTCATGATTCCCCTGATTCCAACAAAAGATGTCTCTTAACTCGATTGCACTCCGATTCTATAATGAGTTAACTATGGCATGCCTCAGCGACTGGCCTTGAGAATGCCGAACTCATCATAGCGAGCCAACTAAAAGAGACTCCTGCTGTCTTCCTGTGAAGTACTACTGCTAAGCTGAGAGCTTGACTTCTCTCACATGTCACGGAGGGCTGCGCGGGAACTGAATTCAACCATAGGGATTGTTGTCAGGTCGCCTGACACTTTCGTCGACGACTCTGGTAACATGCACGACCGTGTCGCATTGTGCTTTACCTTTCGCTCAGCTCCCAGGTGGCTTGTTCAGTCAAACCGGGTTTTGCACCTTCTGCCTCAGACAAATGTTTCGTCAAGAGAGGTTCGTTTCGGCAAGCGAGCTGGCGAAAGCCAGGAGAAAACACCAGGGCTCCCGTTGGGGAGGGTCGTTCGTTGTTCCAAAATGTTGATGTGTGAAACTTTCTGCCTACATAATTTTATATTTAGTTTTCTGACATTTCCTTCTAGCTTACCATTTCCTTTCTATTCCTACACTGAGGTTTCACCAACGCACCATGCGCATTTTGTCTGTTTCGTCGTCCACTTTCTATCTGTCCCTTCTCCTCCTCCTCCAACTGTTCGCGCCGCCGTTATTCGCGCACGAATGTCCGTCGTTACAATGCGGAAAGATGCGGCGAGGGTACATCTGGGACCACGACGCGTTGGGTAACCTGGACGAGCAGGAGATTAACGACGAGACGCAGAAAGTTCAGGCGTGCGCGATGCTGTGCGCCGCCACGCCGGAGTGCTTCATCTGGCAACTGAGAGTCGTGGAGGAAGGAGGTGAGAAAGATTCTTGCGACGACTTTTGAGGCGCCTCAAAGGTGCAGGCGTGCGCGATGTCGTGCGCCCACGCCGGAGTGCTACATCTGGCAGCTGAGAGTGGTGGAGGAAGGAGGTGAGAAGGATTCACCTAGGTCAAACACAAACACACTGGTCAAACACCCCGATATCGGCTCCCTGGTGAATCACGCCTGCATATTTTTCGTTACTGTCCCTGATTCTTCTCAAAGCAACCCTTTCTTGGCACCCTCTGACTTTTGAGTCGACTCAAAAGTCACCTGGTGAAACACCCCGATATCGGCTCCCTGGTAAATCATGCCTGCGTATTTCTCGTTACTGTCCCTGAATCTTCACGCAGCCACCCTTTCTTGGCACCCTCTGCGCCGTTCTGACTAGCTCGCACTAGCTCGCCGTTCGACGTCTGCAAAACAAGGAGACAGGAGGAGCAAAGCCCATGCCTGACCAACCCTGACACCCCCAAATCAGCTCCACACACCTCTTTTCCCTGCTCCCCTTTCATTCTTCGCCCGTCCAGCCTTCTGCCGCATGTGGCGGGAGGAGCAGAGCCCGTGTCTGGCAGACCCGTCAGACGGTGCCAACCCCATCCAGTACAACCCCCCTCCCAACGCCCCACCCTCCCAACGCCCCACCCCACCCTCCAGCCTTTTGTCGCATGTGGCGGGAGGAGCAGAGCCCGTGCCTGGCGGACCCTACAGACGGCACCAACCCCATCCACTGCAACCCCCCTCCCAACGCCCCACCCTCCCAACGCCCCACCCCACCCTCCAGCTTTTTGTCGCATGTGGCGGGAGGAGCAGAGCCCATGCCTGGCGGACCCGTCAGACGGTGCCAACCCCATCCACTACAACCCCACACCCAACGCCCCACCCTCCCAACCCAACGCCCCACCCTCCCAACGCCCCACCCCACCCTCCAGCTTTTTGTCGCATGTGGCGGGAGGAGCAGAGCCCGTGTCTAGCAGACCCTACAGACGGCACCAACCCCATCCACTACAACCCCACGCCCCCCTGGAAGGGCGTGTTCGGCTTCGGGGGCGGGTGCAACCGCAGCAAGCGGGGTCGCGGCACTGAGAGCACAGCAGCAGGGCAGGGAGGCGCCGGGGGGAATGTTACAGTGGTGGCAGGAGGGACGGGAGGGAATGGGAGTGTGGCGAATGGGGGGAGGGATGGGCGGACGCGGCAGCAAGGGTATGAGGGGAAGCAGCAGGAGCTGGAAGCGCAGCAGCTGGTGCCGCAGGCGCACGCGCAGGGGGCAGGAGGAAGGCTACCAATGTTGACAGTGGAAGGAACGGCTGGGGTGAAAACAGGTATTGGATGTGGCATGTGTGTCTGAATGTGCCTGTAAATGCGCTTTTTGTAAATCACTGCAGTGATTGCTAGCTGATCGCCCCATTCATTCCCAATCACAAGCTCGACCTGATTCTTGCCCCATTCTATCCATGTGCCAACCCCTGTGCCTATCCCTGTGCCATTCCATCTGCCAGACCCCAACGCCACAGCTGCATGCCCTGATCTCATGTGCAATGTGGCCATCAAAGGTATCTTCTTTGACCATGAGGGGAAGGGCCATTTGGGGGAGAACACAACTGGCCCGGCCAACCGTGCCCACAGCTGCTGGATCATCTGCCGGAAAACCGAGGGTTGTGCGTTTTGGAGTTATCATCGGGAGAAGCCAGAAGGTGAGGAATAACATGAATAAATGTTCTCACGTACCTCTTCTGTTCAAATTTAATCACATTGCTTCCTTCGTTGCTTGTTTTTGTATTTTTTCCTCACTGGGGTATTTTGTCAGGTCGTTGTACAATGTGGAGCGAGCAGCAAGACCCCTGCAAGCCTGCAGACCCCAGTGACCCTACAACTGCACGCTACCGGCCCTGGCCAGATAGAGAATACCTTGTTGGCGGGCACTGTAAAGGTGGGGCCACGCCTTTTGGTCATGTAGTGCGGCGCAAAGGCCCTTAGCAGCATGTGTTTTGAATATAGATTGTTTGTGTATGTGTTGACTGTTGTAACATTTCTTGTCGCCATTGGTTTCGCGGACTCGCAGTCAACGCTTTGTGAAATTTGTGAATACCTTCGCGTCACCTTCATTGATGCTGCCTTTCAAGGGCTGCGAAAAAAATGTCGTCGTCACGTTTGTTGTCTGTGGCGGGGCTCGCGAATCACGACATTCATTTTGGGACAAAACGACAAGATGACCCATCCATCCTAGGACCCCGCGCGTCACCGTCGAATCACCGGATGGCGCGTTGCACGCACCGCACACCTCACGACCCCCAATCGCAAGGGAGCGAAATTACTCGGGGCCCACACTGTACTGGCTCCCCTGACTGGGCAGGACAGTCACCCCCCCTTCTGCTGCAGCTGCGTGTGCGTCATCCAGCTGCGCCCAGGGGGGAATGAACTTGAAATCCGCCCCCCAGCTCTGCCCGAGCCAGAGAGAGAAATTCATAAATAGGGGAGCTGGGTTGTTCATAAAATTGTTCATAAAATACTCCGCTACTTTCGCTATTGATCATTGCCAGCAGAGCAATCCTCTTTTCTCCTAGCATATTCGCGAAGTTTCTCGATTAGTCTGACCTTGCAGAGCACGTCTCTTAGTCTACTCCGCGCCTAATTATAAAGGAGGACGCTACCCTTTCCACCAATCGACTAGCCTAGTACCACTACTACTACTACCTGCATTCTTGGGCATTTCTATGCTCTGATATGAGTCTCTCACTATCTCCTCCCAACTCCCTTGGAACGTCGACCCGCCCTCCGCCGCTTGTCTCTCCAAAACGAAAGCTCGCCGAGCTTTTAGGCAGAACGAACCATTCGTCACCCCTCCTTTCCACGTCTCCACCACTCCTTTCCAAGTCTCCCTTTCCTTCCACGTCACCGCTCCTTTCCACGTCACCGTTCCCCTCCACGCCTCCATCCGCAGCATCCAGCCCGTCGCTGCTCGCGCGCGAGACGTCCTTCGATTCGGAGTCGCCGTTAATGAAGCGACCCTGTGCGCGTAATATCAGCGGGTCGCATCGCGCATCGCCTAGTACTGCCTTCCCAGACAGTCGCGCACTCGCTATTGGCAGCGGTTGCGACACGCCCCCTGTTCTCGAGCTCGAAAGAGACGGTGAGGAAGACGACGGCATTCCCTCGCCGCATCCGAAGCTAGCAATTCCCAGGGGTGGGGCGCACTGCTACCGCAATCGCCGTTTCAAGGGCGTGCGACAGCGAAAATGGGGCAAGTGGGTAACCGAGATTCGCGACCCTCGCACGAAGATTCGCGTGTGGCTGGGATCGTACGAAACCGCGGAGGAAGCAGCGCGAGTGTATGATATGGCGGCGCGGATCATAGGGGGAGGGCGCGGAGGCGCCGCCTGCGGAAAGCTCAACTTCCCTGACGAGGCGCATCCCGTCGCCGTTCCGCGCGCCATTGCGGAAGCGCTGCTCCGAACGGTCCGCGAAAGCAGAGCCCTGTGCGCCGCAGATATCGCAGGGGGCGAGAGCCTCGTCGTTGCAGGCGACGCGCACGACGCGGGCGACGCGCGCGACGGCGCGTGCGACCTGCCTGCGAGCTTCTCAAGCGACGTGGTTCGTCTAGAGGCTGTGGGCGACAGCGTGGTTGTGGCGGAGTGCCCCCCTGCGGCGTCAGTGGCGCCGCTTGGAATGATCTCCGGTGACAGGGGGCAGCAGATGGTGTTGCTTGGACCCACTGGCGTTGACAGCGGGATGGAGCAGCCGCAACAGACGCAGCAGACGCAGCAGCAGCGGCCCCTGCAGCAGCAGCACACACAGCAGCAGATGCAGCAGAGTCAGCAATCAAGGCAGCAGCAAGGTGGGGGAGTTGGGGACCCTGCAAGGGCACCAACCACAGGCTTCACACTCCACCCGCCCTCAGCACTCACTCCCAAGCAGGAGATGCCTGCTATCAGTCTTCAGCCATGGCTGGATCAGAGCGTAAACGCAGCGGCCCCGACGACTCAGTTCCAACCGAGTAATGCTGTGGGAGTGTCCGATCCACTTCTAGGAGGGCTAAACTCGTCAAACATTGATGGTTGCGGTGCTAGTAATGTCAGTAGCAGTCGTCCCGTAAGCGAGATTGCGTGGGAGTTTGAGGGCGGCAGATTGAAGGTCGCAGTTGTGAAGGAGGAGGCGCAGACGATCCCATACCTGGACAACAAAATGCTACTTGACCTGAAGCCGAGCGTTGCTGAGAAGCCACGTGGTGCTGAGAGGCCACGTGCCTCCATGGGCCAATCCACCCCTTGGGAACTGTCAATTCCTGTGCACCCAACGGCCGGAGGGGATATTGCAGAGCCCGAGTCTCCCAGAAGCCCTTCCAGCAGCAGCAGCAGCGCCAGCGATTTGTCGTCTGCCGGACACTCCATCTCTGCCGAAACCTCTGATGTACTGGATGGGGATCATCGCCAGGTCTCCACACAGCCGACAGATGAGAGCCACAGCCTCCCAGCCAGTGCTGATTCTGTGCTGGCGTGCCAGGCGCAGGTGGACATGCTGACAGACATCATGAACCTGCTTGATGAGCACTTGCCGGCCAGGCTCACTTCTCTGACGGATTCCGGCAGATCTGACGGCCAGCTAGACAGCACGCCTGTGGGGGGTGCTGCTGCGCAGGAGGCTATTCTCTGGGCTCTGGCACGTTCTCAGGGTGCTGCAGCCGGGCGGCAATCCCAAGGGGTTGGTGCACCTGAGGTTGTGGATTCCCATGCTGGGTTGTTGGCACGGGAGGTGTGTGAGGGAGAGGCGGAGCTGGTGAATGTGTCGCCATGGGGGTTATCGCCAGCAGCAGTTGGGTTTGACCTCTGGAGCTGAATATATGTACCGTATTGAAGCAGCACGACGACATGAGTATAGGGTTTCTTGGTCTGAGGTTTTGGTCTGATTGATCTCTTCCTCCTAGTTATGCCACACTGTGGCCAGCCATCATGATTGCTCGTTGGCATTGCCCCACTACGGCTTTGTATATATGGTGAAGGGGTGTACTACACGGCAATCATGATGCCTGGCCATGGATAGTTTGTTTCTTTTGTTTTTATTTTCCTGCATCTTTTGCAAATTGTGTAATAGAATGCGTGAGGTATAAATGTTGGCTGTCAAAGATTTGAGTGGAGTGGAAAATATTCATTATGTTCTTTTAGTGAAACAGTACTGTACAGAACATGCCTATGAAGGGTATGTTATTCCCGCGTCGTGTAGGATTTGCCAGCTGCTGTTTCAGGCTTCTGATTCTGATCCACCTCTGGAAATTAGGTTTCCAGCCTCCTGAATCTGACGAGATCGATTAGGGATTTCTTAGTAAGCTCAAGTCCATCTAACGGCTAAGCGCATATCTCGGTTATGACTAACATAGCTTCCTTACACCTGACAGTCTACAGCTGATGACACCTGTTAGGGCGGTCGTCTCGTAAACTTACGAAGCGAGAGACTTGAAGCGACTTCCACCTCGGAATCCTCCAGTAGTTTTGTCGCTTATGTAACTTTTAACATTAGCTACTTATTTCACTTATATCGGCGCAATACCTCTCTTATATCGATTGTTCGCACAACGCGGACATGGAGTCGGGCGCACCTCACATGAACAATTTTCCTTTCCACTCCGCCTCTTTCCCCATGCCGCCTGGAGAATCCCCCCGGTCCTTCCGCCACCCGCCCTCGCGCAACTGCAGCGCAGGCGGCGATATGAGCTCCGAGCCTCCTCCATTCTCGGAACACAACCCGCACCAGCCCCACGTCCCCCACTACGCGACAAACGCGCGCCAGCCGTCGTCGCTTAGATTCTCCTTTGATAATAAGTGCGCGCTCGGCGCAAGACAGGAGGACTCGGGGGAGGGGCCCGCGGGGAACGCGGAGACTGCGCGGAGAGTAGGCGGAGGAGTTGACGGGGAGGGGGGTTGGGGGGCGGATGGGGAAGCTGCGCAAAGGCGGCACAATAATACAGGCGCATATCCCGCGCAGGGGTTTGGCGGAAGCTTTGGCGGAAGCGGAGGTCCGCAGCCCGCGGGCCTCTATCAGGCGCAGTTCTATGGCGAGTTCCGCCAACAGGGGAAGCCCCGCAACCAGAACGGGGGGAACTGGCGGGGAGGGGACGGCGGGCCGGTGCGGGAGGGTCAGGCGGAAGGGCAGGCGGAGAACAGTAAGAGTGTTCCTCTGGGGGGTTGGAGCCCAGGTGAACGAGCAGATTTCGGACCTGTCTCAGGTGATTACTCAGGTGCTCCAACAGGGTATGCCAACAGAGAGCCGTCAGATACTTATGAGGGACTGAGACAGAATTACCCTTTGGATGGGGCTAGAAGGCGAGTTAACCCTCAGTTTGACCAGGAAATGGGGGAAGAAGGCGACGAAGCAGGAGAGGAGGGTGAAGGAGAAGGAGAAGGAGAAGAAGGAGAAGAGGAGAGGGATGGGGGTGTTGGTGTGGGGGAGGAGAGGGGAGAAGGCGGGCGAACGGGACCAGGGGGAGAGAGGGAGTGGGACGAGGAGACACATCGGCTACGCAACAGTAGACTCACTGACAACCAGCAAACTGACAATCGACCCACCGACCATCGTCGCACCGATCGCACCGACAGCCAGTTTCCGTTTCCCTCAGGCGCCGATGCTCAGCCTGTCAGCAATCTGTTTGGCATGTATCGGTCGCTGCTCTCTCAGACGCACCTCCGCGCGCAGCAGGAGCAGCAAGGCGCAGGGTCGTTCCGGGATAGCGGTGGGGGAGTTGACGCGACAGCGGGCAGTGCCGGTGCTGGTGATCCTGCCTTTGCTGCTGCCGCTGAAGCTGCCGCCGCCGCTGCTGCTGCTGCTGGCAGTCCGTCAGGTGCTGTTGGTGGTGGGGGGGGCAGGGGAGCGAGAGGAGGAGGAGGAGTAAGAGGAAGGATAGGGGTTGGGTTGTATGAGAGAGTAGGAGCTCAGCCTGGGCCGAGCCTGGGCTACGGTGACTCAGCATTCTTCGGATCCACGTCAGTTTCTGCCCTTCCCGAACCTCCCTCCACAGCCTCGGGCGAAGCTGCGGATTGGGCGGCAGCTGCGGCTGCCGCAGCAGCACGGCAGGCTTGGGAACACGTGGGCACGGTCCCTGTTGCTGCAGGCGCTGTTCCTGTAGCTGGAGGTGACAATAGCGAATGGGAGGCGCAGAGCAATAGTAGCAACTCCGCCCCTCGCCTGGCTATGTGTCTAGTGAGAGCAGAGGGGGAGGCGGAGAGGGGAGAGGTGCGGAAGGGCAGGGGGAGGAGGTGGTATGGCGGGGGGAAAGGAGGCTTGGGGGGGAGGTTGGGGGAATGAGTAGGGAGGGTGGGGTGAGAGGGGAGGAGCGGTCAGCATTGAATGATTATGCCATGGTGCCTTCTGCAGGAGAGAGAGCAATGGGAGGAGGAGGCGGTGGGATGGGAAGAGGTGGTGTGCATGCAACGGGTATAGGCCAGAGGTTTGTGTCTCAGAGCAACAGAGACTTTGCAGCAGCAGAAGCAGCGGCAGCAGCGGCGGCAGCAGCAGCGGCGGCAGCAGCAGCAAGGGCGGCAGCAGAGGAAGCAGCCGTTCCCAATGCCCCTCCCCCAGCAGCAAGCGGCGAGATCAGCATGTACCAGGAACCTTCGAGCAGCCTGCAGATAAGCGCGGGGAGGAATGGGGGTACAAGAGGGGAGAATGGAGGCATGGGCGCAGAGAATACAGGCCAGCAGCAGAGGTTCAGTGTGAGAGGGGGCGCTGGGGGGGACGCGGTAGGCGCAGGGGCAGGGGGGTATGTGGGAGGTGGAGTGAGGATGAGCATGGGTGGTGGGGGGTTCGGTCCGTTTGGGTTGAGACCCAAGAGACCTGAGGTTAGTGGGGATGTTGCTTCTATTTGGCTCAACCGGTGGTTGCGGCCCCCCACTGCTGCTGCTGGCGGTGCTGGTGCTGGTGGTGCTGGTGCTGGTGCTGGTGGTGCTGGTGCTGGTGCTGGTGGTGCGCAGGAGAATCCTCTGTCTCTCCCTGTGTCAGGTGAATTTCCAGGTGGTGGGTCTGTTTCAGGTAGTGCCAGTCAAGGTGAGCCTCTGCTGTTGGCTCAGGCGCCTGCTTCTAGGGAAGCGAGTCAAAACGGGCAGCAGCAGCTGCAGCAGCAGCAGGGGATGCAGCAGCAGGAGCAGGAGGAGTGGAAGCAGCGGGAGCGAGAGCGACAACAGGAGTGGCTGCAGCAGCAGCAGCGGCTGCAGCAGCAGTGGCAGCTGCAAACGAGCACCTCAGCCGAACCTCCTCCTTCTGACTCAGAACCCCCTAGAGCCTCTGATTATTCTGCTGCTGGTGGGGGAAATGCCGATGCCGACGCTAGTGTTGATGCTAGTGTCGATGCGGCAGCTTTAGCAGCAGCTGTAGCGGAAGCAGAGGCGGCGAGGCGTCGGTTTGAGAGGGGGCGAGTGGCCATGCAGAGCTGGAAGAGCAGGAGCAGACCCGCTATTGCTCACACAGGAGCAGCAGCAGGCGCAGGAGAAGGAGCAGCAGCAGCGGGTGGGGTGGTAGGGGAGGGAATGGCACGGGACAGCTCAGCACTGCGAGTGGCTGCGATTGAAAATGACGTGGCGGCTTGGTCTGCCTTGCTGGCAGAGAGGGGTGGAGGCGGAGGAAGAGGAGGAGGAGGAAGAGTCGGAGGAGCAGCAGTGGCAGCAACGAGTGATGCGGGAAGCAGCGGCAGCCACGAGCAGCAGGCACATCAAGCCCTCCAGCAGCATGAGCTGGAGATCCAATCCCACCGCAACCAGCAGCGAGCAGCAGGAGGGAGTGCACTGTTCGCCCCACACTCTTCCCTCCACGGCCAGCAGAACCCGCACACTCTCACTGTGCACCCCCCCTCACACTCTCACTCTCGCTCCTCTGCCACTCGGAGCTTTGGGGGGGCGTCCTCTCACTCGCCCGCTCCTCCCTCCCCACCTGTCAGGGGCGCAGGGCCGGAGGGTCTTGAGAGTGTGGTGGAGGGAGGAGTGGGAGGGGAAGGAGGGGTAAGAGGAGGAGGAGGGGGAGCGAGGGGATTTGGGTCGTTTGGGTCGGGCTTTGGTGGTGTGGGCCGAGGGTCGGGAGGTGGCAGGCTCGGGGCGTTGAGATCAGGAATGGTAGAAGCAGGAAGAGGAAGGGGAGGAGGAGAAGGAGCAGTACAAGGGGGGAGAGGAGGAGGAGGAAGTGAGGCAGCATCAGGGGGACCTGTGTTTGTGAACACAAGGCGGACAGAGGAGTATCAAAAGCTACACCAATCCTCTAGCAATCTCAAACCACTGGGCCACCCTCCTGTCTCTCCGTCCGGATTCGCTGCATTTGGAATGCGGGTTTCTGCAGCTGAGAGCGTCAGCGGCAAGCTCAGGTCGCTCCGAGCCGGAGGGCTAAGTCCGGCAGTGCCAGGTCCGGGAGGAGCCGGAGCCAAGCCGGGTGTTGCGCGTGCAGGTTCGGGGTTCAGCCTTAGTGCAGCAGCAGCTGCGGACGCTCTTACCAATGCTGCTGCTGCTGCTGCTGGCCTAGGTCCTGCCGGTGCTGCCAGTAACGTTGATGCTGCCGTTACTGCTGCTAGTCGCAGTCTAACTAGAGTGGGCAGTGAGGGTGCACGTGCTACTGGTCGCGCCTTGCCTCGTATGGGTAGCGTTGGTGGCGGGGGTGGTGGTGGCGGGGGCATTGGGGGGGGTGGGTTCACGTGGATTCAGGGAGGGTTTGTGCGGCGAGAAGGGTCTGCTAGCCCTGCTGCTAGTGCTGGCAGCGGCGGTGCAGCGGCGGCTGTAGCGGCTGTATCAGCTGGTGGTGGTAACAGCGCTGATAGTGGTGGGGGTGGCAACATGGGATACGATTTTGGGTACGACATGGGGTAGTGCCTGTCGTGAGAAGGACCGGAAAACAAGACCCAGCAATTTGCAGCAGTAACATTTCCCATTTCCATGAAATTTCGAAGTACATTCAACTTGATACAACGTGCCTAAGAGTCAGCCCTGTGCTAGTCACCCCTTGGCTAGTCACCCCGTGGCTAGTCAGCCCCGTGCTAGTGACACCCCAGCTGAAATTACCTGCCTCTGCAACAGCCACCTGACCTGGCTCAAGGCAACTCAAGGCACCTTTCATCAAGTTGAACGAGCCTGCAACCGGCATCCCTCTCTTGCATCCGTTCCCCAAGTGGTGATCCTGCAGTAATCCCCGTGTTGCACTACCCTGATCTTCCCCGTGTTGGACTACCCTGATCTTCCCCAAGTGTCGCGCTGCCATGGTGCCATTCGTGCCGGGATGAGATTACTGCAGGAAGGCAACGATGCTCTGCTGCGCGTTGAGGTAGAGGAAGAGGGGGAGAGGAGCGGACGGGGAGGAGGAGGAGCGGGCGGAGATGCGGGCGAGAAGGGACGAGGCAAGGTCAGCTGAGAGGCGAGTCTCTCCCACCATCGCATACACATTTGCTGCAGCTGCACCAGCAGCACCAGCAGCACCAGCAGCACCAGCAGCACCGATATTGATCCCAACCTTGGCATCAACTGTAGCCTTCACCCAAGCACCAGGAAGGACAACCAGGGGAGACAGAATTGAAGGCACCGAGCCAAGCGCCGACCCTGCCGCTTTCCCTGCCGAGCCGGCCACCTTGCCCACTGTGCCAATCACCGAACCTGCAACGTTGCCCACGGAGCCTACCACCGAGCCTGCAGCCTTCCCTGCCGAACCAACCACGTTCCCCACAGCGCCACCCGCACCAGAGATAACACCACCAACCCCTGAGACAAGCCCAGCAGGGGAGAGGTTAAGGTTCGCCGAGCCTCCGAGGTTGGCTTGGACACCGCCCGAGCCTGCGTTGACACCGGCACCAACGTCAGCGGAGGTGTCGAGCAGGCTGGAGGAAGCAGCCAGAGAACCAGATCCAGACACGGTGCCGTTGGGAAGGGAGAGCCCAGCAGAGGCTCCCACCCCAGCAGATGTGTTGAGGAGGGCGGTGGAAGCAGCCACAGAACCAGATCCAGAGACAGTCCCGTTGGGAAGGGAGACCGCTGCACCAGCGCCGGCACGAGCAGACGTGTTGAGCAGACCGGTGGAGGCAGAGAGAGAGCCGGAGCCAGAGAGAGTGGCGTTGGGGAGAGACGCGTGGGCACCACCGCTGGCAGTGGCCGAAGTGTTGAGGAGAGCAGTTGAGGCGGCGATAAAGCCTGAGCCAGAAGCAGTTGCTTTCGGGAGGGAGGCATCAGAGCTGCCAGCAGCTGTGGCTCCGGTGTTGAGGAGGCTTGTGGAGGCTGAGATACCCCCCGCGGTGGAGACCGATCCGTCGGGGTTAAGAGCGGTGCCGGCCCCGGCGGTGGTGGATGCGGAGAGGGAGGAGTTGGGGAGAGAGGCGGAGGCAGAGAGGGAGTTAGAGGTGGTAACGCCGGTGGTGGGGGAGAGGGAGGCATCGGCAGTGGTGGATGCAGAGAGGGAGGAGTTGAGGAGGTTGGTGGTGGTGGTGGTGGTGAGAGAACCAGAGGTGGTGGCTCCTGTGGAGGGGGAGAGGGTGGCGTGCACTGAGCCGTCTCCGGAGAGGGAGGCAGATGCGGTTACAGCAGGCGAGGTGGAGGAGGAGGAAGTGGAGGATGGGGAGGTTGCGGAGGGAGAGCAGGGGTTACGGGCGACGATGGCTGGGGAGGAGGATGGGCGTTGAGTCAAGCCCTGTGCTTTGATCTTGTAGGAGAGATAAACGGATCCACCCCTGGAGGGAGAAAGGGAGTTGGGAGTTTGAGAAGGATGGGTGACGGTTAAAATACTGCGGCTGCAGAAAGAGTTTGTCTTGGAACACCTAGAGTGTGTACATGGCTGTTGCGTGGTATTAATGCATTGCAGCTGGGGTTTTTCCTTTTTACGACTATGTTATAATGGGAATTGCTGATGCACCTTCTGAGAATGCTGATGTCAGCTGTGCCGTCGATATCAGCTCCAACAATGTCAGCACCAACGTGGGCGTTGAGTGCAGCACACGTGGTGAGGCCCCCTTGGAGAGATGCTGCAGCAGAGGGAGTGAAAGTAAAGCGGGTGGGGAATGTGAACAACTATAACTTTCTAGAAAGGTGAAAAGGGATTTGAACTGTGCTCATTTGCGCAGCTTATGTATACTCAGTCTGCGATCGCAGGGAGAGTGTGTGTAATGTGGTGGGAGGAGAAACAAGGATGGTACCAAAGGCACAGGACGCCAAGAGGATGGAGGTTGGAGCTTACCTAGAAGCTTGGAGCGCACGCCAAGACCACGAGCAGCATGGGCGGAAGAGGGAATAAGAGCTGCAGAAGAGGCACGAGACGGCGGAAATATCATGGGGAGACGAGATGAAGCTTTTTAGGATGACGCGAAGGGAACGAAAATGTATAAAACGCCTCATACTCAGCACGTTGCTCAAACCCTGCCGATTTGGCTGGGAGAGGTGCTTGTGGAATGAGGAAGCAGCAAAATGGATGGCGGTGATTTCCCGAATATGGTTCCTCACCTCCCAGGGAAGCAGCGAAGAGGAGTGCGAACGCAGCGCGAGGGAAAAAGGAAGCCATCGTGAAGAGTTTGCTTTAGGCTAAGTCGTGAAGCGGTAATCGATTGCTTGGTGAAAAACGTTAGCAAGAAGCAGTGATTGTGGGAGCGCTCGGATTTGCGATGCTGAGGATGGGGAGAAATGTGCATTTTATCCCAATCAACATTTGCTACGGACCGCGCGCATTGGTCTCGCGACGCGTTTGAGCGGGGCGGTGGTGGGTTCGGTTTCGATGGCTGGGTGGGTACAATTTGGGCTGGCTGTAGGGCAGGCCACGTCGCTGTTAACTGCCGTTGACATTGTAATTTGGCTGTGCGATGGTAAGGCCAGCAGGTTTGGAAAATAAATGACCATTTGAAAACAGTCAACGGCGTTATCGCGTGTGTCTTTTACTGGTGCGTTATGCAGAACAAAGCGGACACATTATCTTTAATACGTTGTTAATAAAGCTTATTATAAAGGGAAACACAGACAGAGGGAGAACACAAATCAAATAACGTAACTATGGTAGAGTCCACCTTATTTCATGCAGAACTCATTCTGCTGAATGCACGAGTGCATTTATTGCGGGCATTATGAAGCCCACTTCAGATCACTTCACGCCTTTCCCTATCGGCATTCTTCAACTATCTCGCAACGGTCTTAGCAATGGTCTCAACCCCTCCATTGCAGTTACCGCCCACCACAAACAGCCCGTCCGCCCTTTGTTGGTATGTGGTGGAGGTGACGTCTGCTGGGTCTGCAGGCTCGCACGGGCTCTGCTCCTTCCTCCACAGCTTGCATCGGCCTGGAACAGGTTAGGAGGGTATGGAAACCAGAAAGCACAAATAAAACAGATGACCTTACAAGAAGGAACTTCTGCTGAAAAAATGGAACCCAACTTTCGCTGAGTAATTGGAAGTTCGATTCTTCCCAATGTTCCCATATCCCCCGCCATTCCCTACCTTGCAGGGCCTGCATCTCGAACATCCAGAAGGCGCAGTGCTCGGTGCGGCGGCAGATGCGCCAGCACTCGAACGGCTGGTTGGTGTAGGCCGTCACGATCACCGCCTGGTGACCCTTGCCCGGACGGTCAAAGAAGAACCCCGTGCGCGGCCAGTTGCAGCGGAAATCGGGGCACTGTGCTGTGGGGCCTGGTGTAGTTTGAGTGGGACAGTAGGAGACAGTGGGAGAGAAGGTGGGCAGGGACGATGCATTAACGACTAGGCCCGGGCGGTCAAAGAAGAACCCCGTTCGCGGCCAGTTGCAGCGGAAATCGGGGCACTGTGCCGTGGGGCCTGGTGTAGTTTGAGTGGGACAGTAGGAGACAGTGGGAGAGAAGGTGGGCAGGGACGATGCATTAAGGACTTGGACCGGGCGGTCAAAGAAGAAGCCCGTGCGCTGCCAGTTGCAGCGGAACTCAGGGCACTGCGCCGTGGGGCCTGGTGTGATGAGAGTGGGGGGGACAGTCACAACAATTGGAGACATAAGAGATTAGGAGGGCTGGGACTCCAGAGGCATCCAAAGAAGCCCGTGTGCGGCCAGTTGCAGCGGAAGTCGAGGCACTGTGCCGTGGGGCCTGGTGTGATGAGAATGGGAGACAGTGGGACACAGTCACAAGAAAAGAGGACAGCGGGGTAAGGGGTGATGAGGGAAAAGAGGGAGAGCCAGAATGGGAAGAGAAAGAGGGGAGCAATGGTAACCCTGCTGCTGATGCTGCGCCGTCACCTCATCACATCCCATGGTCCAAGGCCCTACCTTGGTGCCACTCCAGCGCGTCCCCTTCTCCCGCCACTCCCGCTGCGGATGCTGTTAGCACCACTCCCCCTTCCTGTCTGGCTCAGCCTGCGCCGTTACCACCGCAGAACCATTCCCATTTACAGGCTCGGTTGAACTATCCTTCCCTGCAACGGCAAATCCCGGAACTGTCAGGTCCGACTGCTTCTGTCCGCGCAACCGCACCGCAACTGCCGCCTCTACAAGCTGCGGCTCCCCCGCTAACCCCGCTTGCGCCGAGAGTCCGGCCGTTGCGGGGGAGATTTCAAGCGACTGCGGATCCGAACCCTTCTCGGGTGCCACCGCCGTCACGCCCACCGCAACGTTAACGTCAAGGATTTCTCCGCCATTCGGCGAGTTCTCGTCGCCGAGTCCGTCGTCCTGTGTCGGCGAGGCTGTCGCACGGCCTGGGGTCGCAGAGGCCGTCGCCGAGTCGTCGGCGACTGCGATTATGGCGGTTTTGCGGGCATTGCAATTCCCGCCGAACCCGAAAAACCCCTCGATTCGCGGGGTCGGATCGTACGTAATGTCACCGAATGCGCCTGGGCGGCACGGGCTCTGCTCTGCTGTCCACATTTTGCAATAGGCTGTGGTGGGGCGTGATCAGGAATGGTTGGGGAAGCAACGGGGGTAGTGATCAGGAATGCCGCGGAGAAAGTGAAGAGCGCCTTTCAAATAAAAAAACAGAAAGCGGAATCAAGTTTCAAGAGCCCGATGACATGAAAGCACGATGACCATTAATACACCGATTTACAGTTGCATGCATGAAATGCGGTTGCGTGACGCAAGATACACATGAAACGGATGAGCAAACGAAACTCAACGTACCTCCGGTTGACACGAGTCCGAACAACCACACATCGCAGCCGGGCGTCGAGGCGCATATCTCGCCGCACTTGGCTGACGTGCGAACGGCCCCCGTGAGCTCCACGTCGTTGAGATTGCCGCGATTCGGGTGGTTCCAAAGCACGCCTCGCTGTGTAACGTCGCATTGTAACGGAGGGCATGCGACGGTCGTTGGCGAGCTCGCCGAGTAAGCGTTCGCTGTTCGGACGACTAATATTCCTGACAAAGATAGTATCAGTGCTACGGCCTGACCGGTAGTCATACCAGCGCGGCGGCGATTGAGCTCCAATAGATCCATGAACCAAAATGATGATATTAATAATAATTTATAGTTAAAACCGGAGTCTCAAGTATCCCGAAGTTGCCTCATCCTTCCTACCTTTGGTTGGGTCACAAAGTCCAACCAAGCTTCCTACCTTTGGTTTTGTCACTAAGTCCAACCAACCTTCCTACCTTTGAAACCTGTGGACCCTGGGAAACAAACTGCGAACTTCGTCTGACCTTGACTACGTGTGACCAAATTGCTGCGGCAATACAAGAGAGCGAACTTCAACGTTAGATATATGGGCTTTTCTGGATTTGTCAAGATATGGCGCTAGTATATAAATACCTCGTCTGGTATCACCTGCTTCGCGCATAAGGGAAGTGTGGTGTGGGTGGCGAAAGGCACTACTACGCGGCTCGTTCGTGCGCCTTTGTGGACGGTACAGATGAACTGTGATTGATAACGAAGGGTTACGATTTTGTCGATGATGGGAGTGTGGCTCCATCTGGATCTCGTGTGGGGATGGTCCTTTGACTTCTGAATTGACGGTCAGAGAGGTGTTTTGATGGGCACGATTGGGTAAAGTAAACGAACCGCGAAGTCCAGATGACATGGATGATCGCTGGATCCACAGGCGGAGTCTGTCCATGCTTGAGGATCCACGTGTTCACTTGAGTGGATCCACACCGCACTTGTGTTCCTCCCGGGGATTTCGCTATTGACAGTTTCCGCATTTGTCCGATACGACTGTGAATGTACGCTCTTGTAATGCTATAGTTTCCGCATATGTGATTTAAGAAGTTTTAGTGACATTGTTTTTTAGTCCACAAATACAAAATCATTTGCTTTCAGCAAGAACATTTTACTACGGGGCTTGAATGATAGGGAAACCATACACGCAGAACAAAAGCATCACATAAATTCAAATAACTAGTTCCCATTAGTAACACAAGCTAAATAACTTATAAGGGCATGCTAGCTAGCTAGTAGTCCAATCAGCATTTCCACAAGGTACCACTCATCCAAAGCATGTTATAAATCTCACCACCACTTGACATCGAGTTATAGAAATTCTTATTTCAACCGCTAAGCAATCTATCCTTGTTTCCTTAAAACCCCTCCCCTCACTTTCCTCTCCACCCACCACCACCACCGTTACCGCCGCCACCCCCTTTGCGCCCGGGCGGCAGCGGCAGAGGCATGGGCCCAGAGGGCCCAGCCTGGGCAGGAGGGGGAGGTACATCTGGGAGAGGCTGCATCTGGCCCTGGGAGGAGGGGGAGGTGTTGGCAATGAGGGGGTCTGTGCTAGTAGCAGAGGTAACAGAAGTGAAGGTGTGGCCGGGTGTGAGCTCTGCTGCTGCTGCTGCTAGGGCTGCCATGCGTCCCTTTCGCGTCTTGGCCTGCAGGAGATAGGGTAAGGAGCAGAATGGGTTGGGGGAGGTGAGGGGACAGAGGGGAGGACGAGAGTGAAGGAGTGGCCGGGTGTGAGCTCTGCTGCTGCTGCTGCTGCTAGCGCCGCCATTCGCCCCTTCCCGCCCTTGGCCTGCAGGGGATTGGGGGGAGAGAGAAGGACTGATGTGAGCTCTGCTGCTGCTGCTGCTGCTGCTGTTGCTGCTGCTAGCGCCGCCATTCGCCCCTTCCCGCCCTTGGCCTGCAGGGGATTGGGGGGAGAGAGAAGGACTGATGTGAGCTCTGCTGCTGCTGCTGCTGTTGCTGCTGCTAGCGCCGCCATTCGCCCCTTCCCGCCCTTGGCCTGCAGGGGATTGGGGGGAGAGAGAAGGACTGATGTGAGCTCTGCTGCTGCTGCTGCTGCTGTTGCTGCTGCTAGCGCCGCCATTCGCCCCTTCCCGCCCTTGGCCTGCAGGGGATTGGGGGGAGAGAGAAGGACTGATGTGAGCTCTGCTGCTGCTGCTGCTGTTGCTGCTGCTAGCGCCGCCATTTGCCCCTTCCCGCCCTTGGCCTGCAGGGGATTGGGGGGAGAGAGAAGGACTGATGTGAGCTCTGCTGCTGCTGCTGCTGTTGCTGCTGCTAGCGCCGCCATTCGCCCCTTCGTGCCCTTACCCTGCACGGGTGGGGTGAGGGGCAGAGGGGGTTGGGGTAGGAGAGAGCAAGTGTGTGGCCTGATGTTAGATCTGCCGCCCCCATTCCCCTGCAGGGGGTCGGGTCAGGGGCAGAGGGGGTTGGGGGAGGGTAAAAGGAGGAGTAGGTTGGGGTGAGGGAGCAGTGAAGAGAAGGGGGTATTGGTAGGGAAACAGTGAGCAGTTAAGATAGATAAGGAGAGAGAAGAAACCTGGGGGAATCAATGTCACTGTGTTAACTTGCACCTCTTCACGCCCGCCTAAACGAGCCCTCCCTCTCCACATACCCCTCTCTTCACTCACTCCTCAACCCTTACCCCTCACTGCTCACCCCTCGCCACTCACCCGTCGCCACTCACCCCTCTCCATTCATACCCTCACCAATCTCCACTCCCCCACCTGCATATGTTTACTCAACCCAGCACTCACATTACATATGTTTACTCAACCCAGCACTCCCCTTGCTCTCAGCACTGTGGGGGTACTGCTGCACAATCCCATCGGGGTACATGTCCTCTCTCTCACTCACACGCCACCTTTCCTCCACTCCCCACATCCACTTTCCCACTTGCACTCTCCCCATCTCCACTCACATATGTTTACTCACCCCAGCGCTCCCCTTGCTCTCGGCATTGTGGGGATACTGCTGCACGATCTCATCAGGATACATGTCATCTCGCTCAGACACCCCTTCCCTACCTCCCCTCCTCACCCCCCATTCTGCACTCACATATGTCTACTCACCAACCAACACTCCCCCATCTCCTTTCACATATGTCTACTCACCAACCAACACTCCCCCATCTCCTTTCACATATGTTTACTCACCAACCAACACTCCCCCATTCTCCACTCACACATGTTTACTCACCCCAGCGCTCCCCTTGCTCTCAGCACTGTGAGGGTACTGCTGCACGATCTCCTCAGGGAACATGTCATCCCGCCCTGCCTGCTCCCCTCCTGAGAACTCCGCACTCTCCCGCAACGCGCTCCCCCCCTCGTCGTCTGTTGCCTCTACTTCCACATCGCTCCGCCCCTCTATCATCGCCACCACCTGGTGTGTGGGTGAGGGGAGAAAGGGGGGTGCATAGGGCGTGAGGCAGTGGGAGGTGCATGGGGCATGAAAGAGCAATAGTCTGGCAAACATCAAGAGCTAGAATGGGGACTCCCTCCTCCCGCAACCCGGCGGCCGACTCGTCGTCTGTTGCTTCCACCTCCACATCGCCCCGCCCCCTCTATCATCGCCACCACCTGGTGGGAGGTGAGGGGGAGAAGGTACATGGGGGGGCAGTGGGGCAAACATCAAGAGATAGAATGAGGACTCCCTCCCTCCCCCCACAAACCCCGCGGCCGACTCGTCGTCTGTTGCCTCTACTTCCACATCGCCCCGCCCCCTCTATCATCGCCACCACCTGGTGGGGAAGTAGAGGGTTCAATGGGCATACGAGCGCATACATCAAAAGCTGAACTGGGGCTACCGCAACCCAGCCCCTGACTCGTCGTCTGTTGCCTCAATCTCCACATCGCCCCGCCCCTCTAACATTGCCACCACCTGGATGCCGGGAGGAGGAGGGGGTAAGGGGATGCATGGGGCAGTTGAGGTTGCATGGGGAAACGGACATCAAGAGAGTGGGGAAATATGAGAGAGAAGGATCAAAGGGGCAAACAAAGAGTGCATTGCCAACATTAGGTTCTCACCAATGCCTGTGCTACAGTCTGTGCTACAGTCTATGCTACAGCCGACGCCACAGCCGACGCTACAGCCGCGCTACAGCACACCCGCACACCGGCTCACCTGGCTCATGCGCGGGCGCAGCACAGCGGACCGGCGCACACAGCAACGACGCTAGAGCCAGTGCTAAAGCCAGTGCTGTGCTACAGCCAGTGCTGTGCTACAGCCAGTGTTAAAGCCAGTGCTGTGCTACAGCCAGTGCTAAAGCCAGTGCTGTGCTACAGCCAGTGGTAAAGCCAGTGCTGTGCTACAGCCAGTGGTAAAGCCAGTGCTGTGCAACAGCCAGTGATAAAGCACAAGGTTTACCTGGCTCATGCGGGGGCGCAGCATAGCGGACTGGCGCACACAGAGCGCAGCTGCAGTGACCAGCCTCTCCATCTCCCTCTGCTACATCCCATGCTACATCCCATGCTACATCCCATGCTACAACCCATGCTACATCCCATGCTACATCCCATGCTACATCCCATGCTACATCCCATGCTACATCCCATGCTACAACCCATGCTACATCCCATGCTACAACCCATGCTACATCCCATGCTACAACCCATGCTACATCCATGCTACATCCCATGCTACAACCCATGCTACATCCATGCTACATCCCATGCTACATCCCATGCTACATCCCATGCTACATCCCATGCTACATCCCATGCTACATCCCATGCTACAACCCATGCTACATCCCATGCTACAACCCATGCTACATCCCATGCTACATCCCATGCTACATCCCATGCTACATCCCATGCTACATCCCATGCTACATCCCATGCTACAACCCACCTGGCTCATGCGGGGGCGCAGCACAGCAGACTGGCGCACACAGAGCGCTGCTGCAGTGACCAGGCGCTCCATCTCCCTCTGCCCGTAGCACCCATCCAACTCCGGGTCTGCCAGTTCCTCCATTGCCCGTTCTGCCAGCAGGGGCCGCGCCTGGGGTGGGGCGAGAACAGGAAGAAAGAGGAGAGGAAGTACAGCAGAGACAGGGGAGAGTGAGTGCAGCTGCAGTGACCAGCCACTCCATCTCCCTCTGCCCGTAGCACCCGTCCAGCTCCGGGTCTGCTAATTCCTCCATTGCCCGTTCTGCTAGGAGGGGCCGAGCCTGAGAGGAAGAGGGAGAAAGAGGAGAGCAAGCAAGGAAGAGAGAGGGGAAGAGTGAGCGCTGCTGCAGTGACCAGCCGCTCCATCTCCCACTGCCCGTAGCACCCATACAGCTCCGGGTCTGCCAGTTCCTCCATTGCCCGATCTGCCAGCAGGGGCCGCGCCTGGGGTGGGGCGAGAACAGGAAGAAAGAGGAGAGGAAGTACGGCAGAGAGGACGGGAGTGAGTGCAGCTGCAGTGACCAGCCACTCCATCTCCCACTGCCCGTAGCACCCATCCAGCTCCGGGTCTGCTAGTTCCTCCATTGCCCGTTCTGCCAGCAGGGGCCGCGCCTGGGGTGGAGCGATCGAGAACAGGAAGAAAGAGGAGAGGAAGTACGGCAGAGAGGGGGAGAGTGAGCGCAGCCGCAGTGACCAGCCAGCCACTCCATCTCCCGCTGCCCGTAGCACCCATCCAGCTCCAAGACAAGGGGAGGTGAGGGAGTAAGAGGGATGATGAGGTGAGGGAGTGGGATTGCTCAAGGGGTCTGGTCTCAATGTACCCCAGGTGCGTAGCACAAGGGAGGGTGGCAAGGAACGGGCGATTGTCCTCGCTATAAGCTGACTCACCCATTCCACGAGGCTGTCGCTGCCCTGCGGCTTCTCCTGCTCCACTGGCCTCCTCCCCGTTATAAGCTCCAGCAGCACCACTCCAAACGAAAACACGTCCGACTTCTCAGTCAGCTTGCCTGTCAGTGCATACTCTGGTGCCAAGTACCTGCGAGGCACCAGACAAGCAGGTTCAGAGACAGAGAGGCAAAGGAAACGACTCCTGAGAATGCCAATTAAGCTCAAGGGAAGCCCCTCCTCTGATGCAGCTTTGGCTGACAGTGCATACTCTGGTGCCAGGTACCTGCGAGTAATTAGACAGGGAGGTTCGGAAGGAGGCATGGAAGTAGGCCTGGGGTTGGGAGAGGGAGTAGGGATGATAAGGGAGGGCAGGGTGAACTAGGGCAGGCAGGGTGAACAAGGGTATTATCTCAGTTGACTGAAAGCCTCCCCTCTGACACAGGCTTGCCTGTTAACACGTGCACTGGCCGCAGGTAGCTCAAAATCTCCGTATGATAACAGCGGAACAATGGAACAAAAAGGAAGTGGTGGGGGAATGGGCGTGGGCGGAGGTCGGAAAAACGAGTGCATGGTGGTTTGAAAGGCGAGGACGGAGGGGGTTCAGAAGGACTGGGAAGATTGGTGTTCAGAAAGGAATTGGGGAAGGAGGGGGGTGGGGAATGGAGGGGAAGGGAAGGGGAGGATGTGGGAAACGAGAGGGTTGGGAATTGGGGGTGGAGAAGGGGAGTGGGGTGGGGTTTGGGAATGAGCAAAGAAGTTTAGATGAACTACTTACCCAAACGTGCCAACTACACGTGTGATAATTGGCATGGCGTCCTCTGCTGCCAGCCTGGCAGCACCAAAGTCCGCCACCTGGCAGCATGGGATTGGACAGACGCGCAGGGATGTCACGAGTGAAATGCACTGTAAGTTTTCTTGACACAAAAATGATGTTCTCACGCATGCAAATAATGACACGTGCATGTCTTTACACAGGCATGCTATCATGCATTCAGCTGATGATTCACGTACGGCGATCAACCACACATGCTCTTTCCACCACAACGTTTACGACTCCCCTTTATTGGCACATTCCTCATATTCACATTCGACTCTTTGCTCCTGAAGATTATCACTGAAGCGTTACGCCCTCAACTCAGCGCCAGAACTCCAGCCTCACCCCAATCATCATAGTGCTTGTGAGGCAATCCCCACTTGCTCTCACACTCCCACCTTGCTCTCACACTCCCACCTTGCTCTCACACTCCCACCTTGCTCTCACACTCCCACCTTGCTCTCACACTCCCACCTTGCTCTCACACCCCCATCTTGCTCTCACACTCCCATCCTGCTCTCACACTCCCAACCTGCTCTCACACTCCCACCCTGCTCTCACACTCGCTTGTTTTCACCTTCACCACTCCTGGTGCATTACATTATGTGCGCTGTAAAAATGCGTGGGTTGCCCCTCCTTCCCCACCTTAGCCTCGTAGTCAACTTGATGTCACCATGGATGATGCGCCGCTTGCCCCTCCTTCCCCCCCTCCTCCTCCCGCCTTAGCACTACCCAATGCACGCTGAGGCACTATGCTATGCATGCACACTGCAGCAATGCCCCACCTTGGCCTCGTAGTCCTTATCAAGGAGGATGTTGGACGACTTGATGTCCCGGTGGATGATGCGCGGGTTGCCTGGGAAAACCGGGAGAAGGGGGGGTGAGTGGGGAGTGGGGAGAGGGGGGTTGCGTAAGGGGAATGCTTTTGCATGACTCAAGGATGTTGGATGACTTGATGACACGGTGGATGATGCGCGGATTGCCTGGGAACACCGGGAGAGGGGAGAAGGGGGGGGGGGGGAGGAGGGGGGGGCGGGGAGTGGGGAAAGGGGGGGGGGGGGAGGGATGGGGTGGGATGTGAAGAGGGGGAAGGGAGCGGGAGGAGAAATGATGTGCAGGTTGCTTGAACACACCAGGAGGAGGGGGAAAGGGAGGGAGAGATTTGGGGGAGTGTGAGGCGGGCAGAATGAGCGGGACAGGAAGGCAGGAAAGGAGGCGTGTGGTGAAGCCTGGAATGTAGTGCTTATGCTTCAGACAAAACGAGCAGCAATTATTATGGTGGGATGGGATTGAATAGGCGGGGAGGGGAAAGGGACGACGGGAGTTAAGGAGACTGAAGAGGTGAGCGGTGGGAAGAGGGAGAGAGAAGGGAGAGCGTGACAGGCAGCGGGGTTTGAAACATTCCTCGTGCAGCGGGGCGGGAGACCGGGAGGAGGAGGTGGGGGGAGTGAGAGCACAACTCACATTCCTCGTGCAGGTATGCGAGGTGCGGAGGGCAAAAGGGGAAGGTGCGACTCACATTCCTCATGCAGGTACGCGAGGCCCTTGGCAGCGCCCAGAGCGATCTTCATGCAGTGAGGTGTATTTCGAGGCGCCTCAAAATACACCTCACTGCAGGGAGGGGGGAGAGAGTGCGAGCAGCGCCACTCACATTCCTCATGAAGGTACGCGAGGCCCTTGGCAGCACCCAGAGCGATCTTCATGCAGTGAGGTGTACTTCGAGGCGCCTCAAAATACACCTCACTGCAGGGAGGGGGGAGAGAGTGCGAGCAGCGCCACTCACATTCCTCATGAAGGTACGCGAGGCCCTTGGCAGCGCCCAGAGCGATCTTCATGCAGTGAGGTGTACTTCGAGGCGCCTCAAAATACACCTCACTGCAGGGAGGGGGGAGAGAGTGCGAGCAGCGCCACTCACATTCCTCATGAAGGTACGCGAGGCCCTTGGCAGCGCCCAGAGCGATCTTCATGCAGTGAGGTGTACTTCGAGGCGCCTCAAAATACACCTCACTGCAGGGAGGGGGGAGAGAGTGCGAGCAGCGCCACTCACATTCCTCATGAAGGTACGCGAGGCCCTTGGCAGCGCCCAGAGCGATCTTCATGCAGTGAGGTGTACTTCGAGGCGCCTCAAAATACACCTCACTGCAGGGAGGGGGGAGAGAGTGCGAGCAGCGCCACTCACATTCCTCATGAAGGTACGCGAGGCCCTTGGCAGCGCCCAGAGCGATCTTCATGCAGTGAGGTGTACTTCGAGGCGCCTCAAAATACACCTCACTGCAGGGAGGGGGGAGAGAGTGCGAGCAGCGCCACTCACATTCCTCATGAAGGTACGCGAGGCCCTTGGCAGCGCCCAGAGCGATCTTCATGCAGTGAGGTGTACTTCGAGGCGCCTCAAAATACACCTCACTGCAGGGAGGGGGGAGAGAGTGCGAGCAGCGCCACTCACATTCCTCATGAAGGTACGCGAGGCCCTTGGCAGCGCCCAGAGCGATCTTCATGCAGTGAGGTGTACTTCGAGGCGCCTCAAAATACACCTCACTGCAGGGAGGGGGGAGAGAGTGCGAGCAGCGCCACTCACATTCCTCATGAAGGTACGCGAGGCCCTTGGCAGCGCCCAGAGCGATCTTCATGCAGTGAGGTGTACTTCGAGGCGCCTCAAAATACACCTCACTGCAGGGAGGGGGGAGAGAGTGCGAGCAGCGCCACTCACATTCCTCATGAAGGTACGCGAGGCCCTTGGCAGCGCCCAGAGCGATCTTCATGCAGTGAGGTGTACTTCGAGGCGCCTCAAAATACACCTCACTGCAGGGAGGGGGGAGAGAGTGCGAGCAGCGCCACTCACATTCCTCATGAAGGTACGCGAGGCCCTTGGCAGCGCCCAGAGCGATCTTCATGCAGTGAGGTGTACTTCGAGGCGCCTCAAAATACACCTCACTGCAGGGAGGGGGGAGAGAGTGCGAGCAGCGCCACTCACATTCCTCATGAAGGTACGCGAGGCCCTTGGCAGCGCCCAGAGCGATCTTCATGCAGTGAGGTGTACTTCGAGGCGCCTCAAAATACACCTCACTGCAGGGAGGGGGGAGAGAGTGCGAGCAGCGCCACTCACATTCCTCATGAAGGTACGCGAGGCCCTTGGCAGCGCCCAGAGCGATCTTCATGCAGTGAGGTGTACTTCGAGGCGCCTCAAAATACACCTCACTGCAGGGAGGGGGGAGAGAGTGCGAGCAGCGCCACTCACATTCCTCATGAAGGTACGCGAGGCCCTTGGCAGCGCCCAGAGCGATCTTCATGCAGTGAGGTGTACTTCGAGGCGCCTCAAAATACACCTCACTGCAGGGAGGGGGGAGAGAGTGCGAGCAGCGCCACTCACATTCCTCATGAAGGTACGCGAGGCCCTTGGCAGCGCCCAGAGCGATCTTCATGCAGTGAGGTGTACTTCGAGGCGCCTCAAAATACACCTCACTGCAGGGAGGGGGGAGAGAGTGCGAGCAGCGCCACTCACATTCCTCATGAAGGTACGCGAGGCCCTTGGCAGCGCCCAGAGCGATCTTCATGCAGTGAGGTGTACTTCGAGGCGCCTCAAAATACACCTCACTGCAGGGAGGGGGGAGAGAGTGCGAGCAGCGCCACTCACATTCCTCATGAAGGTACGCGAGGCCCTTGGCAGCGCCCAGAGCGATCTTCATGCAGTGAGGTGTACTTCGAGGCGCCTCAAAATACACCTCACTGCAGGGAGGGGGGAGAGAGTGCGAGCAGCGCCACTCACATTCCTCATGAAGGTACGCGAGGCCCTTGGCAGCGCCCAGAGCGATCTTCATGCAGTGAGGTGTACTTCGAGGCGCCTCAAAATACACCTCACTGCAGGGAGGGGGGAGAGAGTGCGAGCAGCGCCACTCACATTCCTCATGAAGGTACGCGAGGCCCTTGGCAGCGCCCAGAGCGATCTTCATGCAGTGAGGTGTACTTCGAGGCGCCTCAAAATACACCTCACTGCAGGGAGGGGGGAGAGAGTGCGAGCAGCGCCACTCACATTCCTCATGAAGGTACGCGAGGCCCTTGGCAGCGCCCAGAGCGATCTTCATGCAGTGAGGTGTACTTCGAGGCGCCTCAAAATACACCTCACTGCAGGGAGGGGGGAGAGAGTGCGAGCAGCGCCACTCACATTCCTCATGAAGGTACGCGAGGCCCTTGGCAGCGCCCAGAGCGATCTTCATGCAGTGAGGTGTACTTCGAGGCGCCTCAAAATACACCTCACTGCAGGGAGGGGGGAGAGAGTGCGAGCAGCGCCACTCACATTCCTCATGAAGGTACGCGAGGCCCTTGGCAGCGCCCAGAGCGATCTTCATGCAGTGAGGTGTACTTCGAGGCGCCTCAAAATACACCTCACTGCAGGGAGGGGGGAGAGAGTGCGAGCAGCGCCACTCACATTCCTCATGAAGGTACGCGAGGCCCTTGGCAGCGCCCAGAGCGATCTTCATGCAGTGAGGTGTACTTCGAGGCGCCTCAAAATACACCTCACTGCAGGGAGGGGGGAGAGAGTGCGAGCAGCGCCACTCACATTCCTCATGAAGGTACGCGAGGCCCTTGGCAGCGCCCAGAGCGATCTTCATGCAGTGAGGTGTACTTCGAGGCGCCTCAAAATACACCTCACTGCAGGGAGGGGGGAGAGAGTGCGAGCAGCGCCACTCACATTCCTCATGAAGGTACGCGAGGCCCTTGGCAGCGCCCAGAGCGATCTTCATGCGGAAATTCCACGCCAGCAGCCGACGGCCCTCGCCTGGGGAAGGTAGAAGGAGAGGTGCGGTTGGGAGTGAGGAGACACCGGGAAGAACGCAGAATGAGAGATGCAGTAGGGGGCGAGAGGAGACGCCTGAGTATAACACCCCTCGGGGGATCTCAGCCATCATAGGGTTACTACAGAATATAGGGTTCTCAACAACATGGGGTTATCAAGCCACACAGAGTAACCCATTAGCCACGAGCTCGTACACCAGCAGGCGCTGCGCGCTGGCGATGCAGTACCCCTCTAGAGTGTCCAACCCAAACAACATAGGGTTACCAGGTAACCCTATCACTCACTGTGCAAGGCGTCCTCCAGCGACCCATTGGGCACGAGCTCGTACACCAACAACCGCTGCGCGCTGGCGATGCAGTACCCGAGGTGCGTCACCAGGTGCTTGTGCTGCACGCGACTGATGATATCCACCTCCGCGCGGAACTCGCGCTCCCCCTGGTGCCCCCCCACCTTCAGCACCTTCACCGCCACCGGCATTCCGTCCGCCAACAGCCCACGGTACACAGGCCCAAACCCGCCCTCCCCGAGCTTGTTACTGTCGGAGAATCCGTCTGTGGCTTCTTCTAGCTCCTCATACGGGAACCACCACTCGTCGTCCGCTTCTTCGCTCATCCTGTCGCCGTCTCCCAGCGCGACGGCGGCTGCTGCGCCGCCCGCGACAGCTGCGCCGGCGACGATCCCCGCGCCTGCGGCTGCGCCTGCGATTGCGCCCGCGCCGCCTGCTCCCCCTCCTGAGTCGCCTCCCAGATAAGGCCCGCCGCTGTCATCACCAGCGCCACCGGTGTCGTATAGGTCTTCATCGTCCTCTTCCTCCTCCGCTTCCGCTTCCCCTTCCGCTTCCCCTTCCGCTTCCTCTCCCGCTTCCCCTTCTCCCTCCCCTTCCCCGTACAGATCCTCGTCCCCTTCCTCCCCGTCTCCCGCCGCCCCGTCCTCATCTTCGTAATACTCCTCTTCTTCCTCTCCTGCAGCGGGCGCGCCGTCGCCATACGCGTTATTTCCCTCCTCGCTGTCCTCGTCCTCGCCAGGCCCGCCGCCTGCAGCCGCCGCCGCTGCAGCCACACCGCCCGCAGCCGCGCCAGCCGCTACCCCGGCCGCAGCCGCAGCAGCCGCCTGCCGTCCGCGCACCCCGCGGACCAGATGCGGCTGCGCGTAAAACGGCGCCTTCTCTGCGCCGCCCACAGTTCCTGGGGCCGCGCTGCCGCCGCCGCCGCCGCGGGTGCGGGTTCGTTCGCCCTCTTTCTTTTTCGGCACGAGGAAGAAGAAGGCAAGGAGGCCGCATGTGACGAGGAAAATCAGCCCCACAGCACCGCCGACAGCAATGCCTATTATCGCCCCCATCGATAGCCCCGACGATTCGGGCGGAGGCGGCGGAAGGACGAATGGCGGGGAAGGCGGAGGAAACGGGGATGGTAGCAAAGGTGGGGGGAAGGGGGTGAGCGGGGGCGGAAACGGGGCTGGGGCGGGCGGGAGGACCGGGGGAGGAGGACTTGTGTCGGGGGGAGGGGAAGGTATCAGAGGGGGAGGGGCAGGAGGACTGGGAGGGGGCCGGAGCGGCACGGGCGGAGGGACAGGTGGCGGGTTGGGGGGACGTGGTGGCAGGTTCGGGGGAGTCAATGGCGGCTTCGGGGGGCGTGGCGGGGGGTTGGGGGGACTAGCCGGGGGCTTCGGAGGCTGAGGAGGCGGGTTCGGGGGGGTCAACGGCGGCTTAGGCGGACGAGGAGGGGGATTGGGGGGGCGAGGTGGCGGAGGAGAAGGAGCGGGAGGAGGTGGGCGTGGAGAGGGGGGAGGCCGAGGAGGAGGATAAATAGGTGGCTTAGGAGGCGGGTTAGTGGGAGGCTTAGGAGGCGGGAAAACGGGTGGCTTAGGAGGCGGGTTAAAGGGAGGCTTAGGAGGCGGGAAAACGGGTGGCTTAGGAGGCGGATTAACGGGAGGCTTAGGAGGCGGGAAAACAGGCGGCTTGGGAGGCGGGTTAACGGGCGGCTTCGGAGGCGGGTTAACCGGTGGCGGTGGGGCAGCTACAGGGGGTGGGAAAGTGGTAGGGGGAGGGTTGACCGGAGGCACGTTGATTGGCGGTCGGGACGGGGCCGGGGGAAACGGGAACACGGGCCCGGTAGGGCGGTTCGGTGCGGGTGGGAAATTGAAGAGGGGAGGAGGGTCAACGGGAATGATGGGACCGGTAGGGCGGTTCGCCGCGGGAGGAATGGGAATGGGGAAGGGGAACTGCTGCGCTGTCGCGACGCCTGATCCGCGAAGCCCCCCCGCGGCTTCTTGACCGGCGGGGTTACCTTGTGCGACAGACGCGACGTCGTACGGTATCGGTGGATGGCGACGAGCATAGCGATGCTCTGCGACCGTGACTTCTAACGACCGACCGGCGTCAGAAGAAGACTGACTAGATATATCCGGTACGGACCGTTTAAGAGGCTCATTGTTAGAGAGATGCCCCACTGATCGCGCTTCAGCTTCGACATGCAGCATATTGGACCGCTTCCGTCTCGACGAGAAAGGTCTTTCAGTGTGAAAATGCCTGTGCACTTCGAACCTGTAGTCCACACCAATAGTAGCCTTCAGCTGCCGAGCCCGAATGTCAGTCTTCGCAGCTCCGTTATTACCATCAGCCCTCCGCTTTCTACGGCTACTGCTTAAATGAAGAGCCATTGTGTTACACTGCGAAGGAACGCGGAAACCGTTCAATGCCGCGATTCTTCCCTTGTTAACGCATTATTTGTCGGGATTGAGGCGCGAAAGATCATGCGGTAACTCAACTGGAGAAGCTATGTGGGTGAAACGGTACGTGTAATGGTCTAATAAATAAAATGGTAAAATATATAAAAAAAAAAAAGCACGAAGGTCAACTTATGGCCGTCGTCTTACGTCAACCTGAGCATTTATCATCGTAATGGTAAGTGATTTGTTCAACACAGCCATGTACGCTGAAGCGCCGCTTGAAGAAAATGAAGCCGTTGTGGCACCAAAGCAGAAGCACAAGCGAAAATAATATTGGAAAGGACTTGCTCCGCTTACCTTTCCGCCTGTTTCCGCTGCTTCACCATTTTCCTCGCTGTCTTCCGCTCAGAGTGAATTGCGGAGCAGAGGGAGGAAGGGAAAAGGAGGGAACGAAGCTGATTCGTGCAGAGGCACCTTGCAGAACATCCCAAGGTCTTCACATCACGTGATACTATCGAGAGACGTTCTTGAGTCGCAGGCTGTATTTTGGGATTGGCTGTCGATTTTGGATCACACGGAAGCACCCACTCAACGCATGGACCCGTCCTTCGCGGCGGGTGGAGGTTGACCTGAGAAAGTGGACAAGGCAGCCGTGTTACTGAAACGAGATTCCATTATTTATACCTTGTACGTGTTCTGGCTGTAGAGAGTGTACATGGAGTAGGTCAGGCGTGTTATTTGCAACGAATTGCTTTTGACGAATATATTGGGTTTAGCTGCCACCAAGCCTCGTCTCAAAGTCGCCCAACCTGGTTTGGGATTACAGCAGCACCCGTCCGTATCCCTGCGACTCCCGAACTAGGGGGGACAGTGCGTTCGCTGCTGTGCTGTCATGGCTTCACTCGCGCACCTTCGATATTTCCGACGTGGCGCCGACCCTGCTTGTGTTCACTGTTCGCGCGGCAACGTCAGCGACAAAGCTGTACGACAAAACCATCGCCAGCGACGCCTTGAACGACGAACACCCACCACAACATTGACCCTCGGAAACTTCAGCTGACAGCTATGTCCCTTGAACCCCTTACTCAAGTACAAAGCCGTGGTCAGGCCATGGCGTGTAGCGTTTTTTCGAGTCGTGAACGTACTAGACAACTATTGTTCGATCCACCCTCTGTGTCCTAATCCAGCTAGGTTGAATCGACTCTAATGGCTTCAGCGGTTACGAGAACGAACGGCTACGTGATACTTCCTTCTTGCCCTCAGAAGTGCCCAGCCACCCCGAATTCCGCTCTTTCCTGCTTGGCTGCCATTTCCGGCGGAATTCGCGGCGGCTGCTCTCGGGCCTTAATCACCGTGTGCTCGCGGCTGCCTGACGCCGATTCCGATACAGACTCAGAGTGTAATGATATGGTCCCTAGCGACCTGTCAGAAGACCGAAGTACTTTCAGCGCGGAGCAAAGCTGGGGAAATGAGGACTTGACGGTTGAAGAGGCGGAGGAAGCGCATTCAGTGCAAGAGCTAGATGAAGTGAGGTCCAATCAATGACCGCCGATTTTTTTTTAGTTGAAGTACCGATAGCTGGGACAGTAATTGCTCACGTCTTTTGTACAGAGATTCATAATACCTCTTACAACACGTGTACAGCAAATTTTGTTTAGCAATCTACTTATTCTATGTCCATTGAGGCCTTTGCAGCTTCCTTCATCTGTTTATGCGCAGCACGCTTTCCAATTTTAAGCTGGAGCTTCTTCTGCACCCGAAGCTGAAACTTGGAAGCTTTCCTCTTCTTAGCGACACCAGACTTGGAATCAACCTGCCACCAATCACAGGTGAGTGCGGTAGTTGTCATAAACCTCGGAAGAAAAAAAAAACGGAAGGGAAGACTTAACAGGTGCTCTAATAGCACACAGTTGGCCTATCTTAACCTACCTTCATCTTTAACGACTTTTCTTCCTTTTTCTTTTGCAGCTTCTCCTTCTGTTCCTTTTCTCCTGAAAGTCAGCGAAAGGGGGGTGCGAAATGGGGATGAGAGTGGGGAAAGAGGGGGGACGGGAGAGAGAATGGCGGGGTTTTGAGAGTGGCAGCAGACTGTCATGGTCTGGAGAGCACTAAGGCATCACTGTTAAGGACGGAGTCGCTGAGATGCTAAACTAACAGCACAGGATGTCGCTCGTGTTTTACACAGCACATCGAGTTTCAGGCGAGTCTGGCGCACATTGACCTACGCATGGCCTGTCGATGCCTGGTTCTTACTAAGTTGATCGAACTCGAGTTGCCGCTTTCTTGTCTCTCTCGACTTCTTTGCCATCTGGTCTCCCTCGACTAGCTGAAAGAATGCCGCTAAAGCGTAGTGCACGCGTTGAAGCACGCAAAATGATAGGTGCTTGACGGAATACAACTGGAGCTGGGTTCAAGGGTTCCAGACAGGAAACTGGGTTTTGTAGTCCCTTCGTTATACAAGCACAAAACTTATGGCTTGGATTTCTACAGACTGGTTGGGGAGTTTTGCGTGTACGCGCTACGCATAGCGCGATTACAGAAGAAGCAAGAATAGTTTACTTCAGAGCTTACAGATTGTCAAAACACTTGAGCTGTACCATGAAAGAAGTGGCAACTTGTCCTGACTCGGGGAAAGGCACAACTGCAGAAAAACGTTTCATTTTGAAATTTCTTGTATCTGTACAAGCCCCCTCTTGTACTGTGCCACAGCTGGGGGGAAACAAACTCTCACCTGCCCGTTACTTTATCTGAAAGCTTTTCATCTGAGCCCGCAAGTACAGCACAGAACTGCACTGTGAATGTTTATCAGCTGCCCAATCTCCTGAAAATCGCATCGTTCACACGTATCTCCATCTCAACGGGCAACACACTGCCGCGTTCGAGCAGTGCAACGCCGCATGCTCGTATCGGGTCGGCATTTTCCGCCACATTCACGTTTCGGTTCGGGAGTTTCGCAACAGAATTTCAGTTCAGATAACAAGGATCTCTAAATTTTCACGCGGGTTCGCCCAGTGGGAGCTCACGTCGCCCAAACCGAAATCACCTCAGGGCGGGGCCAAGAATGTACGTACAGTTCTTCGCAAAAAACCGTACCCAACCATTTTGTTTCCAGTTAGAACGTTCAAATTCAACGTACTCTCCCGACACTCCCTCATTCATTCCGAGTTCCAAGTTCCAACTTCCAACCCAAACACGTCATCGCTTCTCACAACACAGCTGTGGGTGGAACGAGCCGAAGCGCGCGAGTGGCAAGACCTGAAAGGCAGGGACAGACTGCCAGTGCCGAGGAGATCGAGTTGAGAGAGAATCAGAAATGGAGGTTCGGCGTGAGCTACGTACAGTACCGCAATCATCTCACTCTCTCCGCGCTTTCCCCTTTCATCGAGAACTCCTCGACCTGAACGTGGATCCCTTCACCCCGCCCCCACCACCCATTCTCCTTCCCCGCTTCTTCCCCCCTCCCCTTCTCGTACAAATGACACCCGTCCGCGGTGTCTCCTCTCCATCCCTCTTCCCCGCTTGGCGTGCTGAACCACTCAAAACAAGACTCACGTCACCGCATGACAACCCTGGCCAAGGAGGCTTACAATGTCGTCCTCCTCCACGCGTTCCGGTCCCGAACAGTGGAGGAGAAGAGGAGAGACACGTCACAAAGACCCGCAGTGGAGAAAGGCCCAATTACATTCTGGGTAACCAACATTGAGCCCGCTGACGTCAAAAGTCACCTACGTGGCTCGATGGTACCCGTCAGATCATGCGCGCCCCTTGGTGGTACCCATCTTCCCTCCGTGGTACCCATCTTCCCTGCGTGGTACCCATCAACTGTGCGCGAATTCCCTGACTGGTACCGCAACATTTCAACCGAGCTGTACACCGTACAACAAGGGTGTCCCTTCCTTCGGGAGACAGTGGGGGCGGAGGGGAAGGAGAGGATGTGGGATGCATGTCACACTGAGCCAGCGCTTGCTCTGTCTTGCTGCTTCCTTCTTCCCCTCCCATGCACGCCCGTGCATTCTCTCCCATCCATGCGCCACACCCTCCCCCTCGCCTCCCCTTGTCTCATTTCTCTGTGCCGCCATTGCCTGCACCCCCTCGCCCTCCCTCCTTCCCTTTCCCTCTATTGCCTCGTTTCAGCCTGTCTTTGAGCATCACTGCCTTCCCTTTTGCTTCATTGCATGTTTGTGTGCTTCAGTGTGTGCAAGGTACATGCGCGCAAGGCATGCGCGCAAGGCATGTTCGCAAGGCATGCGCGCAAGGCATGTGCGAAAGGCATGCGCGCAAGGCATGCGCGCAAGGCATGTGTGCAGGGCATGTGTGCAGAGCATGTGTGCAGGGCATGTGCGCAGGGCATGTGTGCAGGGCATGTGTGCAGGGCGTGTGTGCAGGGCATGTGTGCAGGGCATGTGTGCAGGGCATGTGTGCAGAGCATGTGTGCAGGGCATGTGTGCAGGGCGTGTGAAGAGCAGCAAGGGCGAGGGACGAGGCAGGCAAGAGTGGTGGGGTCGTCCTGGGCGCTCGTCTCCTCCGCCGTCGGCCCCACTGCGCCCATCCCTCATCCCATCTGCTCTGCTGTGCTGCTCTGCTCTCCGCTGCGCACCGCCGCCCCTCTCACGCCTACCGCCGCCCCTCTCACGCGTACCGCCGCCCCTCTCACGCGTGTCACTTGGGTGGGTCTCTCCCTCTCTTCCTCACCCACCCCTCGCTGCCTCGTTTTACTGCTGCCATTGCTCTGCCCTGCTGCTGCCATGCCCCTCCCCCCCTCCCCACGCTCGTGCCAGTCTCTCATCTTTGCATCTCATGCCCTCCTTGCTTTCGCCTACTCCTGTTCTTGCTCATGTTGCTTGCTCGTTGTTGCTTTCACTCTGCTTTCACAATGGTTTTGAGAATTTATAGACTCACTTCGCGCATCTCCTTCTCCCAGGGCCTTCTCTGCCCATCCCTTGGCTTGTTCCTGTGTTCCAGGGCGAGGGGAGTGCGGGCCACAGGGCAGCAGAGGGGCGTTGATGTTGCAGCGAGTGCGGAGGCAGCAGCAGGGGTCTACCTGCGTGCTACCACACACATCACACACCACACCCAACTCCACGCCATTCACTTCACACCACACCCAATACCACGCCATTCACACCGCACGCACCAAACACCACGCCTTTCACACCGCACCCAACAGCACGCCATTCACACCACACCCAACAGCACCCCATCCACACCACACCCAACACCACGCCATCCCCGCCACACCCAACAGCACGCCAACCCCACCACACCCAACACAACGCTATTCCCGCCACACCCAACACCACCCCATTCACACCACACCCACACCATGCCATTCAAACCACAACCAACACCAAGCCATTGATACCACACCCAACGCCCCGCCATTCCCACCACACCCAACACCACGCTATTCCCGCCACACCCAACTTCACGGCATTCCCACCACACCCAACACCACTCCATTCCCACCACACCCATCACCATGCCATTCCCACCACACCCAACACAACGCCATTCCAGCCACACCCAACGCATCGCCATTCACACCTACACCCTCCACCGTCCTTCCACCCTACACCATCCACCGTCCTCTCTCCTTCCTCCACCCTCCTCCCTCCACCCTCCACCCACCACCCTCCACCCTCCACCCTCCACCCTCCCCTCTCCTCCCTCCACCCACCACCCTCCACCCTCCACCTTCCACACTCCGCCCTCCTCCCTCCACCCTCCACCCTCCACCCTCCACCCTCCACCCTCCTCCCTCCACCCTCCTCCCTCCACCCTCCTCCCTCCACCCTCCACCCTCTACCCTCCTCCCTCCTTCACCCTCTTCCCTTCACCCTCCCCTCTCCTCCCTCCACCCTCCACCCTCCACCCTCCACCCTCCACCCTCCACCCTCCTCCCTCCACCCTCCTCCCTCCACCCTCCTCCCTCCACCCTCCACCCTCCACCCTCCTCCCTCCTTCACCCTCCTCCCTTCACCCTCCCCTCTCCTCCCTCCACCCTCCACCCTCCACCCTCCACCCTCCACCCTCCTCCCTCCACCCTCTTCCCTCCACCCTCCACCCTCCACCCTCCTCCCTCCTTCACCCTCCTCCCTTCACCCTCCCCTCTCCTCCCTCCACCCTCCACCCTTCACCCTCCACCCTCCACACCCCGCCCTCCTCCCTCCACCCTCCACCCCCTCCCTCCTCCCTCCACCCTCCACCCTCCACCCTCCTCCCTCCTTCCTCCACCCTCCTCCCTCTACCCTCCACCCTCCACCCTCCGCCGTCCTCCCTCTACCCTCCTCCCTCCACCCTACACCCTCCACCGTCCTCTTCCTTCCTCCACCCTCCTCTCTCCACCCTCCACTCTCCTTTCTCCACCCACCACCCTCCACCCTCCACCCTCCACACTCTGCCCTCCCCCCTCCACCCTCTTCCCTCCACCCTCCACCCTCCACCCTCCTCCCTCCTTCACCCTCCTCCCTTCACCCTCCCCTCTCCTCCCTCCACCCTCCACCCTCCACCCTCCACCCTCCACACTCCGCCCTCCTCCCTCCACCCTCCACCCTCCGCCGTCCTCCCTGTACCCTCCACCCTCCACCCTCCGCCGTCCTCCCTCGACCCTCCTCCCTCCACCCTACACCCTCCACCGTCCTCTCTCCTTCCTCCACCCTCCTCCCTCCACCCTCCACCCTCCTCCCTCCACCCTCCACCCTCCACCCTACACCCTCCACCGTCCTCTCTCCTCCCTCCACCCTCCACCCTCCACCCTCCCCTCTCCTCCCTCCACCCACCACCCTCCACCCTCCACCCTCCACACTCCGCCCTCCCCCCTCCACCCTCTTCCCTCCACCCTCCACCCTCCTCCCTCCTTCACCCTCCTCCCTTCACCCTCCCCTCTCCTCCCTCCACCCTCCACCCTCCACCCTCCACCCTCCACCCTCCACACTCCGCCCTCCTCCCTCCACCCTCCACCCTCCGCCGTCCTCCCTGTACCCTCCACCCTCCACCCTCCGCCGTCCTCCCTCGACCCTCCTCCCTCCACCCTTCACCCTCCACCGTCCTCTCTCCTTCCTCCACCCTCCTCCCTCCACCCTCCACCCTCCTCCCTCCACCCTCCACCCTCCACCCACCACCCTCCACCGTCCTCACTCCTCCCTCCACCCTCCACCCTCCACCCTCCCCTCTCCTCCCTCCACCCACCACCCTCCACCCTCCACCCTCCACACTCCGCCCTCCCCCCTCCACCCTCTTCCCTCCACCCTCCACCCTCCACCCTCCTCCCTCCTTCACCCTCCTCCCTTCACCCTCCCCTCTCCTCCCTCCACCCTCCACCCTCCACCCTCCACCCTCCACACTCCGCCCTCCTCCCTCCACCCTCCACCCTCCGCCGTCCTCCCTGTACCCTCCTCCCTCCACCCTCCACCCTCCGCCGTCCTCCCTCGACCCTCCTCCCTCCACCCTACACCCTCCACCGTCCTCTCGCCTTCCTCCACCCTCCTCCCTCCACCCTCCACCCTCCTCCCTCCACCCTCCACCCTTCACCCTCCACCCTCCACCCTCCTCCATCCACCCTCCACCCTCCACCCTCCCCTCTCCTCCCTCCACCCACCAACCTCCACCCTCCATCCTCCACACTCCGCCCTCCTCCCTCCACCCTCCACCCTCCACCCTCCACCCTCCACCCTCCTCCCTCCACCCTCCTCCCTCCACCCTCCACCCTCCACCCTCCTCCCTCCACCCTCCTCCCTCCACCCTCCACCCTCCTCCCTCCTTCCTCCACCCTCCTCCCTTCACCCTCCCCTCTCCTCCCTCCACCCTCCACCCTCCACCCTCCACCCTCCACACTCCGCCCTCCTCCCTCCACCCTCCACCCCCTCCCTCCTCCCTCCACCCTCCACCCTCTACCCTCCTCCCTCCACCCTACACCCTCCACCGTCCTCTCTCCTTCCTCCACCCTCCTCCCTCCACCCTCTACCCTCCTCCCTCCACCCTCCACCCTCCACCCTCCACCCTCCTCCCTCCACCCTCCTCCATCCACCCTCCACCCACCACCCTCCACCCTCCACCCTCCACACTCCGCCCTCCTCCCTCCACCCTCCACCCTCCACCCTCCACCCTCCTCCCTCCACCCTCCACCCTCCACCCTCCTCCCTCCTTCCTCTACCTTCCTCCCTTCACCCTCCACCCTCCTCCCTCCACCCTCCACCCTCCACCCTCCACCCTCCACCCACCACCCTCCACCCTCCACCCACCACCCACCACCCTCCACCCTCCACCCTCCACACTCCGCCCTCCTCCCTCCACCCTCCACCCTCCACCCTCCACCCTCCACCCTCCTCCCTCCACCCTCCACCCTCCACCCTCCTCCCTCCTTCCTCCACCTTCCTCCCTTCACCCTCCACCCTCCTCCCTCCACCCTCCACCCTCCACCCACCACCCTCCACCCTCCACCCACCACCCACCACCCTCCACCCTCCACCCTCCACACTCCGCCCTCCTCCCTCCACCCTCCACCCTCCACCCTCCACCCTCCTCCCTCCACCCTCCACCCTCCACCCTCCTCCCTCCTTCCTCCACCTTCCTCCCTTCACCCTCCACCCTCCTCCCTCCACCCTCCACCCTCCACCCTCCACCCTCCACCCTCCACCCTCTACCCTCCACCCTCCACCCTCCTCCCTCCACCCTCCACACTCCACCCGCCTCCCTCCATACTCGTCCCTCCACCCTCCACCCTCCACCCTCCTCCCTTCACCCTCTACTCTCCTCCCTCCACCCTCCACTCCACCCTCCACCCTCCACCCTCCCCTCTCATCCCTCCACCCACCACCCTCCACCCTCCACCCTCAATCATCCTTCCTCCACCCTCCACACTCACCCTCCACCCTCCACACTCCACCCTCCTCCCTCCATACTCCTCCCTCCACCCTCCACCCTCCAGCCTCCACCCTCCACCCTCCTCCCTCGTTCCTCCACCCTCCTCCCTTCACCCTCCACCCTCCTCCTGTTGAAGAGAAAAGGCCCCGCCCTCGCTTGGGCGAACACGACCAGGCATTTCGGAACAAGACGGTGTTCGTTTCGTGGTCATCGGAGACTTCGGGGACTTTTATCTGTGTGCGACTGGTCGTTTGTCGACGAGATTTATTGGTCGAGGTAGAAGTGTTTCCTCTGCTCGATCAAAGTCCTCGTCTAGGAGGAGCTCTTCGACGGGAGTAAAATGGCGTCAAAGACGAGCCTTTCTGATAGACGGAATTGGCAGAATTGGTGTTTCGACGGATTGCTGGTCGACAGAATTGAGTTCGACGAGTGTTTCGTCGAGCAGAGCGATTCTGGTCGACCAGAATTACTTGGCTCCGAAATTCGCAATGTACGCGAATTTCGACCAATCGCGAAACAGCAAATTTCGACCAATCAGGTAATCTCGGAAATTGTACTCCCCAGGAGAATTCGAATCTGCTAAGGAACAGAACCTGAAACACGTATTTGCTAACTACAAAAACGTATACAACTATGAATGTTGTAAAACCTGAGCAACTGCCAACTCAGGTGAAAGGTGCATGTGCATGTCGTTTCACCTGCCGTTGCTGACTCGACAGAGTCAAGTGTATGCCGAGGAACGTTCTCTTCAGGGTTCTGTCTTCTGCTATTTGGTTCTCTTTGCTTGTATTCTAATCTTGTTCTATCAACTTTCCTTAGTGAAACTATGCTTGAATTCTACTAAGGCATTCCAACACTCTGTCAAGAATCACTGCCACAACTCTGACCGTGCGTCCCACGCAATTCAGCTCTCCCGTATAATACTATTCTCCGCATGGTGCGGTGAGCGTGGACGGCCCCGCGTTAGAACCTTCACATAGCCGACTTCTGCGTTCATTACCTAAGTTGTTGCTAGGCCGGCAGCCGTCTTAGTCACCATGGTCAACCCCGTCGTTGAAACGGGCGTAGAAGATACCCTGGAGGCGAGAGAGGCTGGTGTTCGGGCACGCCACGAGGCTGGCGGGTACGGCGAGGCGGACTTG